TCAGTCAAGGTCAGGTGACACTGTGTTCTTCTTCTTTGAAGGCCCTGAAGCTTATAAAGCCTCAATCTACTCTTCCATAACCAAATGTTTAGTACCTACTAGTTGGGTTAATTAGAGTGCAGTCTTTACAGCTCTGATAATAATCACTACTACACCATCATAGCAGTGGCTGCAGACTATTTTTTCATTTGTTATTTCTTTTTAACAGTAAGCATTCACATAGTCACACTGTTTAAACCACTTGTTCTTTTGGGTTCAGCCAAGGGTTCATGCAATCATACCTACAAATATCACGTTCCAGAAGATCATCACCTGCACTCCTGACAATTCCCAAACTAAATACAGCACAGCATCTTGGATATACCTCAAAAATAGGTCACTTTTTTTTTTTTTTTTTTTTTTTTTTTTTTTTTTTAAGAGGAGGAGAGAATATTCATAGCAGAAAAAAAGAAAAGTGAGAGGAGAGATTGCTGAATGTCCAGCACTGATTTAGAAACAGGCTTTTCCAAGCAGGGTAAAAAGGAGCTCTCCCCCAATCCATTCAGTGTATGGTTATTAGTATTGATAACAGGGATTTGGCTCCCAAGAGAAAGAGTGGGAGATGAATTAGGAAACAAATACACTTCTGTAAATAAATTTTTTCCAATTCAGATGTTTTTTAGGAAGGGGGGGCGGGGAGGGAAATCTGTTTCTCAAATGTCAAGAACTTGAAAGACTAAAAATAGATCACCGGAATAAATAAATTAACCCAGAAGACAGGACTGATGCTCTGCAGGCATCAAGGATTAAATAAATTCACTAAATTCAAAGTGGTATTCCAGATAAGAGCTCTTTGTGCTGCAGCATGTACAGCTTATTGATTATAGGATTGAGGTGCTGTGCACTCTTGTAAAATGTACTCTGGCTGATATGACTTAATCCTGCAGTAATGTACAGCCCGGTGCACAAAGCATGGAGCTAGCTTATATTTTCTTATTTATTTTAATTTTGTTTGTCTTCATTTCCTGGACTGCATCTGTGCCCTCTCCCACCAGCGTTTCCCCAGGCACTGTCTGTTCAGGGTGAGTGACAAGAGGCACTTCAGAAGGTGCTGACTCAGCAGGATGAGTGTTGGGCTGCCCAGTGGGGCCATGGGAATCTTCCTTGATTATCTTCCATAGGGATGTAAAGCCTGAGCAGTTCACTTTTCCTTTGCATTGCATGGGCTGACTGGAAGGACAAGTGTCCCCTGAGTGCTGGTGATGCCTGGTTGATGTAGAGAGCCATGGGAAGCAGCTCAGGTAGAGATACTTGTTCTGCAGACATATAACATTCTGCCCTATGAGCCCACTAAGGAGGCAGAAGTGTGTCTAACCAAGGTGAAAACACTACCTGTCCAGACAAGGTGAATTTCTCTGGATGAAAGTAGAAAGTTTTGTAAGTCCTGCTGGGTCAAAGCAAGCAATCCCAGAGGGGCTGTTATACACCTAGACAGAATGAATTTAGGTTGTTCCAATTAACCTGATTTCCATCGTAGAGGGTGCTTTCACCTTTCTGGTCAGATGCTGAACTGCCGAGGTCACTTCACACTAATACAGAATGACATTTCTTTCCTCCTTTGGAAGCCCTCTTGCCTCTGGTGCTCAGCCCAGCTCTCTGCAGGTTGATCTCAAGAGCCAGCAGACCTCTCCAAACATGGAATTTTACCATATAATTTATCAAGCAAGAGAAAAACCTCCAGGCAGCCAGGCAAAACAGTGATGCTCTCACTGTGTGCCTGTCTCCTGGTCCATCTCTCCTTGGGGTTGCTGCCCATCACCCAGAATCTTCCCAGGCTCAATGAATCCTTGGGTGCTAGTTTTCTGAATCAAAGGTAAGAAAGTTGATCTGAGCAAGGGGAAAAACTTTTATCATTAATTGTTGTCTCCCTGAGACAACAACGAAGGAGCTGTAGGGGCTTGGCTTTGGGGTAACGTCCTCAAATCCCCGTATCTCCTACAGGTTTAGCAAATCTCCCAACATCTTACTTCACCAAAATCAAGCCTTTTAATCTGAAGACATATAACCTCTACTAGGTAACACTGCTTCCTGAGCATGATCCACAGGACCTGTATTTTAACACCCAAGATTCATTAATATTTCCTGCAGAGTGTTCAGTAAGTAGCAAATAAAGCAGGAAGTGTCCCAGATGTTGGAAAGAAAAAATGGAATTATTCATTGCTTACTAACGTCAAATGCTAATGTGAGAAAAGCATCCTTGAAGAAATCCTTGACTAAAATTCATCAGTGATGTGAAATCACTGTTTTAATTATGCATTTTTGAATGTATTTATTAGTCCCGGTTCTGATCTGACTTACAGATGTTTAACAGTGATAAGGGTCTACTGCAGTCTTTGGAATTACTCATGATTTATGATGACAAAACTTGGATCAGAATTAGGTCCTTGTCACTACTCTATAATATCCTTTCATCAAACTTCTGCACATTCAACAGATGAAAGAGACCGTGGTTTCTGCAATTTCAAACCCTGTCACTGAGTCCATTAGCTTGTTTTTTGAAATTTTTCCTCCAAGAAATGATGATTCTCACAGAAAATTTTGTCTGCTTGAATTATATTTGCCACAAGAAACTTGAGAGCAAAGAAATTAGACTCTTTAGTCCACCAAAATGGTGTGTTTGGTTAACACTTGTGCTGGCTACAAACAATGCATTTTACTAGAGGAGCTAGTTACTTTAGTTATGCTAGTCTATAATCTTTTTCTCTGCATTGTTATTGTTGTGACTATTTGAATATGATCAATACTAAATGACTATTAGAGAGAGTGTGATCAATACCATAGATTTTTTTTTTTGTTAAAAAACCCCCTCTCTTTGAGAATGATTCAAAGTCATGTGTTTTTCAAAAGAATGATGGAGTTTTAAACTATTGCTTGTTCTAGAGCTAATCCAGAATGAAGAAGTCTCCAGGGATGGTTTACTCCCTAAGGCATGAATGCATGATTAAGCTAAATGTATTCCATAAATGCCTTGATGACATTAAACTAAATTTTTTAAAGAACAGATGGAGAAAGTTAATAAATATTTCATTCTATAATATAAAACTCACTTCTATATTCAAAACTTCAGGGATCCTCAGCTTCACAGATATCAATGTCTGATGGATTTCTTGCTGCATTCTCATTCTTCTGCCCTGGTGTCTCTTATGGGATCATCATTTCTACATGCTTGGATTGTTTTATGGGATCAGTGAAAGGCAAGTGACTGTAAATCTTGACCTCTTCTGCCCCTGGATTATATACTTTTATTCTTTGTGACCATAAGTGTTCATCTCTACACTGAATAGATAATTAAATGACAAAAAATATTCAAAGGGAATTTATAGTGAGAAATTATCACTTGAAGAACTGATGGGGCACAGGCATAACCCAAGGAGATATGAAAAAAACAGTTTAGAATGGCCAAATAAAACACTGAAATATCGGTGTATTTGTAAATGTCATGAAACATCTCTTCACTGGGAAAGAATATGATTTTTACCTATATATACCAATTCTATTCAAACAAAATTTCTATTACTGGAAAACAGTGTGGATTTTACTTAAGAACTGTAGACCAAGCCTGTTATTCATATGAAAGAACTAATCTTTACATGTGGAAATTACAATTTCTCACTACATGTATGCCATGAATCTTGTAAAAGAATAATTAGAACTTGCTCCAAAAGAAAAGAAATGCCAGATGAATAATATTTTACGAAGAGCATTAACAAACATTTTTATACTGCCAAGAATCTTCACTGCTTTCTAGAGGAGATTTACATTACATTATTAACTACACGGTCAATAGTATGACATAAAGCTTGGGAGATACATGTTTAGCACAAAGTATAACATCCATGAGAACAGCGTGAATTTTTAGGAAGTTTGATTTCAAATTTATGTAAATGAGTTCAGCAAGCAAAGGCCCAACAAACTACTTCAAAGCATCAAGATGCAGCCTTAAAAACATGATGAGATCAAGTCTTTGTCATTTCTCAAGTGTCTTTACAAACCTCCACATCTACAGTATAAATTATTTCACCTTCAGCACCTTGTTTGGTGTAGAATTAGCATGCATTACTCTTCGTAGGACCACTGCAATCTGTCAGACAACATACACCTAAGCAAGTGCAAGAATTTAAGACTATCTAAATGGTATATAATTTGTCTTTTTGGAGCTGACTCTTGTGCTGTGCCTGTAGAATACAGCAAGGTCCCATGCTGAGCTGGCTGACAGGGTCTATCATAACAAACAAAATAAAAAATAACAATGTGATTGCTCCCACTCCATTTCCCCCAACTCTGACCATCTTTCACTTTTTGGGTTATGAATCCCCACAACACTGCAACCAGGGAAAATATTATACTCACAGTAATGTGGTGCTGTAAAGAAATTCTAATGAATTCATGTTAGGTTTCATGACACAGAAATTGGTTTATTCACTTATTGAAAGTTAGGTTAGGTCCAGGTACATTTGTATCTTCAAAATCAGGGCTTTTAAGGAAAAAAAAAAAGGGTTTCTCATGTTTCCCGACATCCCATTAAAATGGCTGTCCTTTGACATCAATTAGAGCCAGCTAAAAAAAGAAATCATCCTTAATTGCTTTTTAGAAATAGACATTATAGTGTACACTGCCACAGCCAGATTTGATTACCTTTTACAAGAAACAAGGATGCTGGGAATGCTATAAAACTCCAGCTCTGCTGAATATGGATGTGGGGCTCTGCTGACAGCAAGGGGAGCTGGGGGAGCTGCTTTTCACAGCGGCAGCACTTCCTTGAGCTGCAGAGAAAACAGATGCCAAAACCATAGACATGTCTAAATTTCTCCAAAGTGTAAAAATGCTGAAGCTGGACATTCAGCTGGGGCTGGTTTTGGATGGACAGTGCTCAGTGCTCCATCCCTGCCTCCATGTAAGCGTGAGTGTAATCATGCACCTATACTGACAATTACAGCTACAAAAATGATCTAGTCCTCGAGACTTGTGAACGTTTCATTACAAGGAGCATCACGAACTTTCTCAAAGGCTTTCTCAGTGTGGCAAGTTTGTCTTACTCCAGGGACTTCATAATGTCTCTGCCGATCAGGTAAAAGAGGAGTCCAGAAAGTAAAACCAGGGGCACACCAGCTGCAGCGAACATAAATGACCACCCGTAGTACACATGCACAGGTACAATGTCCATGCACTTCTCACTTCTCTCCAGAAGGATGTACTTCTGAAAATCAGCAGCAAACTCCTTCCAGATCACAAAGAGAAATATGAGCAGGAGAAATAAGCCTCCTGGGAAGAGAGACAAAGATGAGTTATTCTCTGCATATGAAACACAGAAATGAAATCAAGAAAAGATCTCAACAGATTTCCATTTATTCTTGCAGGTCGTTTGCATCAAAGCCTAGTGTTGCATCATTATTATTCATGACGCAGCTCTGCAGGTTCCTGTGAGTGCCAAGCCCACTTGCCGTGGGACACCCCACCCCAGCGCTCCCAGCTCCTGCCCAGTCGCAGGCACACCGACACCTCACGCTTTAACCGCTGCTGGGGGCTCCGTTACAGCTGGATACAGCCATGGACAAACCATCATGAACACGGCTGATGTTCACAGCAGGGATCATGAACAGGGCTGATGTTCACAGCTAGGATGAGACTAGCTCTGCATTCCTGTCCTAAAGGTGGGTCATTTTGCCTTTTTTATTTTTACTTTGTCAGAGATGAGTGAGAAGGTGAGGCTAAGACTTACTTTTTCTTTTTTTTTACCTACCCTTCTAAGCAGTGTCAGATCCAAACTCCACCGGAAATGCAAGGATATGGAAATCAGTCCTGCTTATGGCAAGGGTTATCCAACACTGAACCTGATACCCCTGGCACCGGCACAAGCAGAGCCCATGCAGATGCTGAGCGGCTGCTGCAGCTCATGGCAGCTCCCTTTCACGTCTGGTGTTACCCTTCCTTAAACTGAGCTTTGCAACAAGTATTAAAACACATGGCCACGAGTACAGCTGATCCTATTTTGCAGAAAAATATCACATAATAGAGTGCAAAAGGCACGTAGCCATGAGATATTAGACTCAGATTGACTACTAAATAACAGAATAATAAAAAGAATGATAAATAGTTTATACCATGAGTCTAGAAATTCTTTTTATTGGCAAGTGAGACCTTCTTTGACCTCCCCTGGAGCCAGACGGGAGGAGGGCTGAGGCCACACTCCAGCCTGAACAGTGAGTGCAAGGTCAGCATCTTGCTTAGTGAGGGTCCGCTCTCCTCGAAGCCTCCCAAGCCTTGCAGGATGCCTGTGACCCAAATAGCAGATCTCCCCTGAGACCTCGCCATCTCTTATTTCCAGATGCATACCCATCAAAGGTCAGCATCTGCAGGAAGAGCTCGGTCACATCTGAAAAGCACGTGGCAAACAGGCACCTCACGGACCTGGCACAGCTCCCAGTGGGTTTGGGGGCTTCGGTGTCTTAATAGGAACCTCCCTTCCCCATAATTCAAAGTGATGGAGGTCGGAGGCTGCAGGTCTAGTTCCCCCATATGAAGCAGATGACAAAAAAACTAGTGTGGCCCCAATATTATTTACTGTGTTGCATTAAAGAATATATACAGTGTACTTTAAAGTCAACATATAATAAAACTAAATAGTGATGGTGGGATGACAGATCTGAAAGCACTTCAGTAATATCTGATCTTGCTACTTCACAGCTAGAAGCTTCCTTTTTTTAAATGCTGCCATATAACATATAGATATACGCACATACACACACATATATGAAAGAAATACATCACAGATTACAATATTTTTATAGTAGAAGTAAACAGTTTGAAATTAATTTAGTTGACAAGTTACCACACAGTTCTGTGGATGTGTTGTGGCTTTAATTTCTCCCCTTGCAATTTTTAAATCAAAGCTAGCTTGTACTATATTTAATTATTCTTCTTGGCAGCTTATACACTACAAAATTCAACTCCCATACTAAGTAAAGGAAGCGGGTAAAGCTTGACATTGATATATCTGCTTAGCAATGGTGGTTACTGAAACCTCAGTCAGAGAAAACACATCAGTGTTTAACTGTGTTTCTGCTTATAGTGGGTATAAGCACATCTGCTGCTACAAACCTCTGCTTCACATCCTGTAGTCAAAAATAAGCCTTATGCGAAGGTATAGAAGCTTCAAAGTCCTCATTACATGTTATATAGAAGTTGAAGCTACCCAGACTAAGCTGTCGTGTCTCCTATACCCTAAGAGTGCAAACTGAATCTTAATAATCAAAACTTGGTGCAACCACATGAATATAGTTTACATCACCACACACTGTTATTTCAAGCCATCCTCCCTTACATGGAAAAGTCCTTATGCTTGCTGGAGAGGCAGGCTAGGAGTTAAACAGCAGCTGTTGTAACATTTGCATGTTCATTGAGATTTTGATACCACTTGAAATTAAGTGCACAAATAAATATTTTACACTTAATATGAGAGTTGTATGGTTAAAATACCAATTATTCTACTATAAGAAAACAATTGCATGTTTAAATAGTCACATGTCCTTTACAAAATACAATATATTGATAAGAAGGCAATTAAGTCTTTATTACTGATGTAATTTAAAATTAAATTAATTAGATAGCAAGTGAACCTTGAAAAGTGCTCTTATAAAGATCAATTTCTATTTCATTAACTTATAATACCTACCGTAAGAGATGCAAATGAAAACGTATCCCCGGTGGGACAGAGGACATGGGTATAGTAGTATACTTCTGAATTCTACTTTTCTTTAAATAATCAGGGGGTTTGTGTTGAATTGTCCCAGCCTCATTTGTTGAAGAAATCAGATTAAAACCTACCAGTTCTTACTGAGGAGGGTGTAGGGAAGCCCCGTGAGCGGGCGGCACCATCCCCGAGCTCACCAGGAGCTAAGGATGGGGAAACAGTCCCTCCCCGTGTCCCAGGAGAAGCGCCAGGTCTCGGTATGGAAGGATTTATTATTAAACAGGTACTGGAGGTGATGGCATGGCCACAGCATCTAAATTAAGAACATTTTCACACTCTGGGAAAATGACAAGAAAATGTAAAGTAAGCAGCCTTCTTCCCTGGAATAATTACAGCTGAGTGGTGAGGAGTCCCTGGGATTTACACCATCTCCTTGGCGAGAAAAGAAAATCAAAAGGGCAGGTGCAGATGAAGAAGGACGGTGGAAGCGCAGAAAGGGCAGCTTACTGGAAACTGTTCAGCCAAAATATGCTTACTTGGAACAATCACAAGTATTCATGAAACTGCCCAAAATTTGTCATGTTTTTAAACATTAGTAGACTCTTCACAATGATAAAATTAGGATGTTTCACTCCCACATGACCAAAGGAATTGTTTGTCATTTTTGTTTTAAAATGCTATTTTATTTTGGATTTTTCATCTTATGAACAGGTCTTACTTTACCACCTCCTTTTTGGGGCTTTTAGTCTCAGCCACAGCAGAAAGTCATCTTTGTTTTCTGCCAGCCCCAAACAGCTTCTTATTTACAGAGACTCACTTCTTCCTGCCCTGGCCGGCAAAATGAAAAAAAACCCTAGTTAGCCCATGAAGTTAGCCTGGCATTGGCATATGCACCTGAAACACAGGATGTGTGTTGTGTCTGGGTAAGTGAGGACCTCATCAAACAAGACCATCCCCACACTCCTCTCAGCATCCCTGTGGTTTCTATCACTGGAAAATTAGCTAAGTGATCTCTTTCTTTCTCTTCCTTTCCCTCCTTGCCTCTGTTCATTAGGATGGTATGGAAAAAAATTAACTGCGAAACTCCATCTCAATGCTGATGAGGTCAATGGCATCTTCTGGGGAGGGACTAATTGCAAGAAAATTGAAGTGAGGTATTAAATCTTTCTCCTTCATACACTGCTAACTGCAGGACAACAAACCCCAGCACTCCACCTCCCCCTCCCAGGGGGGCTGCACCTTCATTGTGAGTAAATTAGAGTCGGGATTTTTCTTTCTCTCACTTTATATCCCTGTGACACCTTTATAGCTGTTAATTGTAGGGACAGGTGAGTGAACTCAATCTTTAACTCTTACTCTGTGGAAGCTACTGAACTTTCATGTAATCTGCTAATTACGAGAATAGTGAACTTTGACTCATTTGCCTTTCTCACTGGTTGCCTCTTAAGGATGTTAATAACGAGGAAATGGAGGGGTGACCTTCAGCTGCCCTTCCATAACTGTCAGCCTTTACTGCACGTGGGGAACCTGAGATTGCCAAAATGGAGATGCTTGATTTGGGAAGAGGAATCTGAGCACAAAACTCAGCACTAACTCACAAGACTGGCAAAGCTGTCTTATTTAATGCAGTTGGCTCTCGCTGAAGAACAGACTGGTCGGGGCACATGCGGTGCACCTCTCGCAGAACTACGACACGGCTCTGAAAGCGCAGGAGAGGCTTCGTGCTGCCTTTGCCCACTGGAAACGGCCCATGGCTGCAGCGATCCTGCTGGGGCTGCAGGACGGTGTGAGCATCCCATACGTGCCACGCAAGTGGGGATGCCGGAGAAACAGCACTGGGACCACAGCAGCTGAAGAAGTGTAGAGTGTACATGGTTCCTCATATATCTGTGCTTTCCAGTGTAAGGCAAGCTGATAACAAGCTCCTCTTTAGGTTGCTTAACATTACCTGGGACATTCATCCTCATTGCTTGCTTTGAAAACTCACCGTTTCGCCTGTCCGCTCCCTCATCCCTGATCAAGACACCAGGTAGAGCTCAGGTCATTTTTTCACTTAAGCCTACAGCTGGTCCAAATGTATTAGGACAGTGCTGGAAGCTCAGTAATTGCCCCAGGTCTGGATGAAGCGTGTGCTCACTTCTAAGCTTGGTCTCTAAAATGCCCAAAGGAAATGAAAACCAAGGAGCACAGGCACAGAAAACTGAAGAGCACGAGCAAAGTTGTCTTGGCAATTCAGTTTCCAGAAGCTATGGTGCAGCATTCACCCGGCCCTCTCAGTGACATTGTAGTGATAATTAATCATATTGTCATCTGACTATTGAAACAAGGGGACGATTAGTCACCAGGCAGTATCTGCCTCCCCCTTGAAAGCACTGAAGCTAAGTCTGAGATGGCAAACATTAGCAGGAAAGCAGCACGGTGGCTATTTGCTCATGCAATTGGGGTGCTTTTGGGAGCAGGCTGGCAAGGATTACTGCTCAGCTGGGGTGGTAGATGTGCAAATGCAAGCAGCAGCAAATGTCAGATGGGCACTGGCTGTATTTCCCGAGTTGCCTTGCAGAGGAAATCAAGGGGGGTGGCTCCCGTCCTTTGAAAGGGCTGTCAGAAACACCACCCACAGAGCACTACATTTGTTACGGTAGCTGGCAGACAGTCAGATTTGTCCTCTTGAAAGTACAGTAAATAAAAGGCATCTCAGAGTGGAAACCCAAAGAGATCTAATTGAGCGATAACAATCTTCACCCCTAGGCGTTGAATTTCCTTCTCCACACTGCAACAGAGGAACACACATAACTCCTCCAGATCATGCCAGGCTGGTTATCCACACAAATGCACTCAGGAGTGCACTTGCACCGGTAATACCTTCAGATCCTTTCAGTAGCAAATGTTGCATCATTTTGCAATGATTAACCAGGGCTGTGATTTCATGACCTCAGCATTGGCTGCTACCAAAAAGGGCAGAGAGAGTTTATGGACAGACTAAAGTTGCACATAAAGGATGCCCTGGGAGGCCAGGGCATCTTACAGCTGTGGTGCCCCATCTCATCATCTGACTGCCAGACCACATTCCCACTCTACAAATTGCCAGCATTTTCACACTTCCTCAAGGAGAGATCATTTCTGCAAGGAAGGTTAATTAACACTGACCCGCAGGCCATGATTAGAAGACAAGATGCGCTTTCTCCTGCGTTGTCTTTCCACATCCAGCTATCTGAAGGAAAGGGATGGCTAGGGAGTTGAAGCTGTGTTAAATCTATTGTTCCTACCGCTTAGTACAATTATGCTAAATATTTTTAGAAGGGATAGTGAGAAAATAACCACGGAGGCATGCATCTCAAATCCATCAGGAAGCCAGTGTCAAGCAGGATCCAGAGGTCTGAGTTCAGGACACCCCCATCCCTCAGAAAAAATGATCAGATGAAACTCTAAGCAAACTTTGCTGAAAATGCTGAAATGCTATTGCCATCTCCTAGCTATCATTTAGATTGAAAATATAGCAGGAAGTCTCTTTTAGCTGAACTCATTCCTCCTAATGACAGTTAATAACAATGATTGCTGTTCAGATTGAAACTGCTTTAATACAAACTTCAATTTAAACAGGAGCATCTTTGTCTAATGCCAAGAGGTTTATGTGATGCATAATCAGCTCTTCTAAAAAGTGTCACATTCTATGCCCCAGATTTTTAATCAAGAAGTAGTCAAATAAAGTGCAAAAACAATGAAAAAAAAAATGGAATACAGTGATCCAATATTACTCAACACCCTTTTCTGGGTGATATTTTGTTTATCTGGCCAGTGTCAAAAGGTGATTGATTTCAGTTTTTCCATTTGGGCTGAAAGTTGAGTGTTTTGAAGAAATAGGGCTTTAACTGAGGTAGCCAGTGTCACATCTGAGAGGATTCAAACATTCATTCCTAGTCTCACAAGAGGAGATGACTTCAATGCACACACATGTCATGTGGCCAACACTATTCAGTAGCAGGCATTGATTTAGTGCCTTCCAGATTTTTTAGACAAATAGATAGATGTCATCTTCCTTAATTCTGGAGGAGATAGAAATTAGGAAAGGAGCTATAAAATGGATAGGGAGCTAAATAATGGGGGAAAAGAGTAAAAGGTTATAATAACAGGGCATGGTGAGATTGGAAGGAGCTTAGGTTGAGTTCCTCCAAGGTCGATGTTGGGACTTTTGTTGTTAAATATTTTCATGAATATTTTCATCCCCAAAAAACTTGGGCACACTCAAAGCCCAAACTGAGAGGAAGGACACCGGCTCATGTTTGATTCATGCCCTGTATGAGGAAGCAGGACCTGGTGCATGGTCTGTAATTACGCAGTGGTTTTTCAGGGAAAGACCTGAGTTCATTATGAAGTTCTTCACTTGTCATGGCTCAGCTTAGCTCCAATCTTTAGCTTTTTGAGTCACAAAAAAATCTTTTTTTTTCTGAGTTTGAGTCACTGCTATAAGTCAACTATTTCTACTAAAGCCAGTTATTCCTTCTCAAATACAGAAAAGGAAAAAGCCCATGTGATAATTCAGTGGAATCATTTGTAATGGCAATGGGAATAATGAATAAATGCCTATTTTTAATGCATTTTCCTGCTGTGTCACTGCTTTATCTTTTCAGGTTTTATTAAGCCAGCCCTCCCATTTTGAATCGCTGGGTATGCCTTTCATCACTCAGTGGGTTTCCAGCTCTACCAGATGTTAGCAGCAGAGACAGGAGAGGCCCAAATGCAAAGACTGACTTAGGGGAGCAGAGTGTGGCTGATTGCTGTTCAGGGTTACCGCAGCTACAGACTTGACTAAAATAAAAGACTCTGCTCCTCTAGGTTGCATGAAAGAGTGGGAGGGGGACAGGGGGAGAAAAGCATTTTTCCCAAATCCCAGGCTCCCTATGACTAAGGACTACCTTGCTAAATCTTGACTGAGCATAGAGTTTTAATTTCAGTGGGAGGAAAGGGAAATTATTTAGTCCAAGTCAGTGCAGCTCCCACCAGAGCCCCCCTCTCCCCGCAGCAGTGCCTCATCCCCAGCTGCCTCCCCGTCCCCCGCATGCACCAAGCGGAGCGTGGCCGCTGCATTCCCACCCCGGCCACGTCCCGGTGCTGCCACTTACCCGAGGCGAGGAGGAATCCGCCTCCCACTTTGTAGGACCGGGGGCTGACGAAGGGCACGCCGCACACCAGCAGCAGCCCTCCCACCAGCCCAGAAGCGACAGCCAGCATGATGAACGCCGTCCAGAAGCCTCTGTACACTGCACGGTCAAAAAGAGTAAAGTCAGGGGAAAAGAAAGAAAAGCAGTTTTCTTCAGTCCATGCTTAACTCCACCTTCAGCAACAGTAAAAGTAATAACCTGTAAAGCTGCTGATGTTAGGCAGAGCTGGAGGTCCTGCTTTGCTAACTCCCTGCCGCGGCATGGGTGCAATGTGGCTGGAACCGGTGCAAGTTCAGGTTGAATGTCATGCCCTACATAATGGGATTGAAATGAGTACAAGGGGTTGGAAGGATTTGTCAGGGAAGCACTCCACAAAAGGGGGTGAGAGCAAAGGACTCTGTGCTTAGCTGTGCCTGTGGGGGATGGAAGAGCTTGGCAAGAAAGGAAAGAAAATAGCAACATCTGGAGAGATAGAATCACACCACATCTTTGTTCCATTTTAATTAACGCTTACGGAAGGTGCCAGGTTCCTCATTTAAAACAAAGGTGGTTTTTGTTAGCAGGACTGCAGGGAAAACAGGAGCTCATGGTTTCCCCCATTAACAGCCTTGCTTTACTCCAAGTAAGAGAACAGGGCAAGAGAACAGCTGCTTCTTTATCCACTGAATTTGGGGGTTTTGCTGTGACTTCATGCAACCACACCAGCCAGAGCTGAGCAAGTTTGCATCCATCACATCCCACAGGATGAGATATAGCCCACTAATTTCAGTTCTCCCAGTAGCCAAGTCTCTTCCAGTCACTGCCATAAACCTCGGCCAAAGGTGGCGGTGTCCAGGCAGAAACCCTCCAATACCCTGCTCCCTGTTCCTCTGATTTATCTGATCCCCTTGGATCACTACATCTCGTTCTGCCTATTGTTTTTCAGAAGTGCTAGTTAGAGAGATTTAAATCGAGCACAAGCAAGTGGGCAATGCTGAAATGATTCACACTTGAAAGAAAAATGATACAGAAAAGATGCGTTTTACTCATTTTAAACCATTTTGTCAGGAGAGCCACTTAGGAAGAGATAAGTATCTTGAACTCTCCAAAACCACAGAATTCATTTTCATGTTTAACCTCCCATCACCCGTTTCTCTCAGGGAGCCTAAGAGGATGCAGATAAGGCAGAATTATCTCTGGAGCAGGTAATAGCTGGAGGAACCCTCTTCTTGGACAGCCTCCTGTTTTGTCATCATTTGCATATGAGGATGGACTGGTTTGAAATAAAATGAATGTTAACGACAGAAGCGTCTGCTCTCTGCAGATGTCCAAGTGCTTTGCAATGGGGTTGGTGCAGCAGAGGAGCCCAACGCTCCTGCTGGCCTGAACATGGGTGCTGAGATGTCCTCATCTCCCCGGGGATCATCCCACCAAGGTGATTTGGCAGAGCCCCGCAGCACCCCTTGGGTGCAGCCCCTGCACAAAGCCCAGCCCCAGCACCTTCCCAGGACCCAGCCCAGTGGGCATTTCTGGGAGGCCGCTGAATTGGGTTTCATAGCAAGGGCTGACAGGCAGGGACAGATGCCTCCAGGGCCCTTTATTTAGTACAGTATATATAGTGTGTTTATCAGCGGGATCATTCAGAAACTAGACATCATGCCTGCCTCTCCTAAGCTGAAAAAATCCCATCGCTTAACCCACGTTTGCCACACACAGCCTGCAACGGGCTCCTCCTCCTACTGTCGACAGGTCCCTTGCATCCATTTGACACTATGGCGTGTTCCCTGAGGCAGGAATCCTGCACAGCACAGAAAAAGAAGCTAGCTGCTCTCCCTCACATGCTCCTACTGACAAATCTTGAGGGTTTTTTAATTAATTCCTCATAAAAAAAAAAATAAAAAATAAAAATAAAAATAAAAAAAAAGGTACTGCTAAAGGCTAAGGAAAAGGTCAAGATGTTTGTTTGTGCAGTATGCCTGCCCTGGATCCCCAGAGGCAATGCAGAGTGATGCACACTATTTAAAGAAATCAATTCATTTCAAAAAAGATCATGGAATTAATTCTAGCTGCTGCCATCAATTTAGTAAATTAAAATTCCTAACAGCAGCTGATTCATTAAAGAACTCTGAAAATATAGAGAAACATAAATAAAAAGGGAACCAGTTGAAAGGAGAGCTCTCCAACTGTGTTATATTCAGTGTGTTAAAAATAAGACAGTCACCTACATGGATCTTCTAACAATTTGGTCTTTAACTCATTTTCCAGTGTTTGTTTATTTTATCTTGCAAGAAATCAACACCAGAGCTCTCCCAGGAAGCCAGACTCTGGAAACAAGTCAGCACTGGCCTGCCACAAACCTGCAGCCCAGGAGAAATTACTGTTCTTGCTTTCCCATGGGGTCTGGATTTGACCATGGGGCTGAAGCCCTTTGCCTCCAGCTCCTCCCAGCAAGAAAGGAGATGGGAAAGTGTGTATTTAGCATCCCCCCCTTGCTCACAGAAGTAGGTGCTGAGCACCCAGCAGGAGGGTGCACAGCTCATGGCCAAGCATGGCTGGCTCTGGAGGAGAGAAGAAGTGGGAGAACACCTAGATGTGCTCACAGCTTGGGGCAGTCAACTAAGCAAGAACGTTTTGTAAAGGAGCTTTCCAAAAGTCTTGGTCATGCTTGGCCACATGCATTTACAATGGGAGAACAGCAAATCTCTGCCCAATTGCTTGGGAAAGGAGCTGCTGGGGGAGGAGGCAAGAAACCCACCTGCAGTTGTGTCGTAGGAAGGATGGGGGAAAGGTCCAAGAGCAATGGGCATGGGAAAGAGGTGGCCATGCATGCAGAACTTGGGGTGTGCTTGACTGGCTGAAAAAGAACAACAAAAAAATCCCTGTTTGCTTTTATTTTCTGCAAAATCATAGTTATAGTTTTCAAATGACAGTGTACTATTCTGGAAAACCTATAAAACCCTCACTGAAATCAGAAAGCTGGGGAGTAAAGAAGCACAGTAAATCCTGGTTAGAAAAAAAAAAAAAAAAATAAAAAGAAGACTGATGAGAGAGGGGAGATATTAGAGGATCTGAGACTGCTACCCGTACGTGTTTTCATCTTCATAACCTGAGTCTGAGGTGGACATAAATTGTGAAAGATGGAGCAACTGAAGTCAGTGTAAATATTCTCGTTGCTGTTTTCCTCCAGAAAATATGTCAGATGGCCGGGAAGGGGCAAAGGTATTTGGGTACCAGACCAAACTCCCCCACAAGACCTTCAGTTTGTGAGAAGGGAAAGCACAATTAGAATGGAAGTGCCCCATCAATATTAATACCACTGAGGCTTATCATGATTAACGGTAATAGAATGAATGTTAAATGAATTAATTAATGGTTGGCCACTTATTTAAATATGTTCCCCAGCTCAAAGGAACACTCTATAATAGGTGGACATTAGTTCATGCTAAATTGACTATGGAATACCTATTGAATTAATTATTACATTCATGAGAGCAGCAAATTAATTTTCTATGATCAATCCTATTATAATAAATACCTTAAAGAAGTAGTACAAATTTGCCAGTAATCAGAACGAGTCATTTTACTTCAGGTAACGTTATATTGTATCATGTATTTCCATATAATGTAATTAGATAGCAAACTCCCTTTCTCAAGCCTGTCCTTTATTATCAAAAATTTTCTGTGTGAAAAATCTCACTTTGTTCAGTTGAATGGTGGCAGTAACTGTTCCTGCAAGATTTTACAAGAAATACAGGCCAGGGACTGGGGAGACAGAAAAGTCTTCTGAAGTTTTAATCACTACAGAACAAATTTATTGTGGGAACCTGCATTATTTGCAGACAAATGTCCTATGAGGTGATTACACTGCTCTACAGGCATCTAAGCATCTTTGAGCAGACCAAAGCCCCAGCAAGCACAGGGTCAAGGCTTTTGCAGTGCTTAAAACCTTTGTAGAACCTATTTAAAAGCTATTTTTTTTTTTTTTTTTTTTTTTTTTTTTTTAATCCCAGATACTTCTCTAGGGTTGATGCATCCCAGGGAAAGGCTGTCCTTTAATTACCCACTGCACACTAACACAGGGGAGCTGGTTGCTGGTTCAGCCACTGGTGGGGCTGGTGCCGGGCATGTTGTGGGATGGGGTCACTCCTTTGCTCTTTCTGGTGGGAGCACTTGGATTCACTGGGCCAAGACCCCACACTTCACTGCACGTGGGCCACCAGTCAGCACCAACTGGTGTCTCAGAGCAGGCTTCACCTTCTCCTTCAATTGTTTTTGAAGAGTGAATGCGCTTTCAGAAAAAAAAAAAAATATTATTTTGCATCCATCTTTGTTTATTCACATGTGTAATTTCAATGACGTTAAAAAGCAAAATAGGCAAGATCTTAAAATAAAGGTCTTGTATGCTTAAGAGCACAAACATATGTGGTTACATCTTTCCATGGTCCACCACTGCCCACTGCTAGAGGTCCTGACCACCCAGAGAGAGCACATATATGCGCACCCAGCCTATCTCATGCTGAAATCAGTGGGAGGTGGGAGTGCGCAGCACCTCAGTGGCTGAAAACTCTGACAGAAGAGTGATGCTGACAGCCAGGAAAGTCATGGGCTCAAATTTAGCAGACCTTATATGAACACAAACATCAAGAGGTAATAGGGGGGAGAGTTGTCCTTGCTGGTGGAAGCCACCACTTCATAAGACTTTTCAGGTGATATATTAAATGGCATAAAGAGATTCCTACATTTCTGTGAACAACCCTCTGAGAGCAAAATCCAAGTCAAAAAAAGAGCACAGAAAGGGTAAGCCACGTTTGCTTTTGACAGAGAGACAATGAGAATGAAAAAAAAAAAAGAGTGGAAAAAAGGGCAACTGTCTCCTTATCCCTGGGAGCCTTTCTTGTGCTTTTTTGCAATTCAAACTGAGTGAATGTTGTGGATGTGGTGCGGTGGCATAGTACTCACTGTACCAGAAGGTCCAGATGGTCTCTGGGTGGCCCTCGCCAAAGAACCAGCACCGCCAGAAGAAGCCCTCATGATGGAAAGTGAGGATCTCCTTCCTGATCTCTGTCGGCTCCTTCCTGATCTCTGTCAGCATTTCACCCTGCAGAGGAATGAAAGCTCAAGCTGAAACAGGGATGATAATGGTGGAAAAGTGGAAAGTGTGTAATTTTTGCTTAGACAGTTGTTCCTTTCATTTTTTGTTGTGGTTTTCATTTGGTTTTGTTTGAGTTGGTTTTGGAGGGGTTGAGGAACACAGAGGAAGCTGAAGTCCTTGACTTTCTGCCATATCACAGCTACAAAATGTTCTGATAACATCATCCTGCAGACCTTCACAAAACAGTTTCTTCCTTCTCCAATATCTTTTAACCACCTATTGTCAGAGCTAGATGGGCATGTCAGGGAGCAGAGCATCCTGGGTGTATTCTACTTCTTAAATATTTTCCTTAAGTAAGTATTACTGCTGTTGTGACCAGTAGGAAATAGGTCGATTACCAGGTAAACAATTCTAGGTGTGACCCAATGTAACAGTTCAGATGTCCTTGCTACTCTGCAGGATCCATGTAAGGTCTGGAATAACCCCAAAAGACAGTTCAGCTCTAACACTCCCAGTGAGCCTCTTCCAGTCACCACCCTAAAGGTTTCCTTCTTTTTCTCCCTCTGCGGAGCCCAGTAGAAGTTATGCTAAACTTAGGTGAAAGACAAATTATTCTGCCCACACCAGTCTACTCATAGATTACAATAGGGAAGTTGACAATTTTTCCTTTTTTATGAGTATACTTCAACCCCCAGACCAAACCTATGAGCACAAGGTTTAGGTCTTTTCAGAAGGGAGGATATTACAAAGTTGAGTCATGGACTATTTACCAAAAAACTTATTAAAACTATAGCCAAAATCAATTTTATCTTTACTGCATACAGTTTGGGAAAGGAGACATGACTGCTACAAAATTACACTTTTGGGGGGATGGAGAAACGCCATACAGTATTGGACCCTGTGAACTAGTGAAAGGAGACAAGGCTCAACAGGGAGGTGCTGGAAGATACAACCCTCACCTTGAGGGTTTTATGCATCATTATGACCACTTCCAGAGCTCTGACCTGATTCTCCTTTTACTTGCAGGAGAAAATACCAACTATGACAATGGTAACATGCAGCCCTCAAACTTCATCAGCTGGATGGCTGCTGACTTAGTGCATCTACAGCACATTTAATTGCTCTCTGGCAGATACTCAAGACCATTCTTATCTGTAAGGGACAGGATTTGCTAGTTTAAGAAAGGGCAGAGAAGGTAAAAACACAGCCTGCTGTACACAACTGGTAACTGAAATAGAAATAATAGAAACAGTGTCTGAAATAGAAATAAAATAGCTCAGAGGAAGAGTAAGAACAGTTCCTATTTCTGCCTGGTGCTTTTGAAGTTACTCTGCCTTAGTGACAGGCACACTAACACTTGGCCAAGAGTGTATCTTAAATGTTTGAGATGCTTATTCATGTCGTGCAGTGCAATGTCTCTAGTTTCTCCACTTTAAAAGACAACAGCACAAACAAAAATCTGAAACAATTAACATTGTCATTTCCCAAGTGCACAAAAACTGAGTGGCACTCCTCTGTTCATGACTCTCTGCCATCTCCAAGGCTTTACTGCGCTGCTTTAAACAGTAAAGATAGTGTCTTCTGATAGGCAGTTTTTCTCTCTCTCTCTCTCTCTTTTTTTTTTTTTTTTTTTTTTTTTCAGAGTAGAGAAAGTCATTTGGAAACATGACTCAAGCAAACAGTGTCCTACATTTCATTATGGGACTCTGAAATGAAACAAAGTATTTCTTGCTGGCATCATGAGGCTTACCCAATGTGACTCACCACACCAGAAAAAAATCAAGCCTAATTGGATTGAACTTTGAAGTAACAAAAAGTCTGCACACAACAAGGATCTTCCTGTCATTTTGTAATTGAAACCACACATTGATCGGCACAAAAATGTTTCTGAAGAGTGGGTGGCTCAAGGAACCGATCAGGTTGTTATTTCATTGAAAAGTTAGACAATAGCAAGTTCAGCTGAAAATCAAACTTTCAAAATGATCTATTAATGCATGATACCAGCAGTTAGCACTAAAATACCAAATTGTCCTTCGACAATTACACTTCCTCCTAACTAAAATCCTATATAAATCTTAATTTTAAAATATATAGGCCTCTTCTTGTTAGACGGGCAGGAACTCTTGTCTAGTCTGTTCTGCATCTGATACTTGCTTTTGTTTTCTGCCTGTGCTGTAGTCATATCACTTCAAATGTAAATGATTGCCAAGTCCTACACTTTAAAATATGAACTATTTTTAAATGAAGAAACTACAGAGGGAGAAATCTTTTAATGGCAAATATCAGGAGATATCTTTTGTCTTTAGAGGCAAATGCTGTCAACAAGTAAAGCTTTTACATTTTTACCTTTCATTCCCTAATGTTCATATCTGCCAGATTACGGAGGTGCTGTCTTAATGTTTCCTAGACACACTTTACTTCAGTCAAAATGCTAGATACTGTGCAAAAGCTGGTTTGGACTTTAAAGGTAGCTCAATCTGACATTTTATGTTAGCAGGTCACTTTCAATGAGCATAAATATTATCACAAGTTTAAAACTTTAAAATATAAGATTTAGAATTATTTAAATAATTCAATTTTTCAGAAGTAAGACAAGATTTCAGAGTTTACCTCCCTGGTCCAGAGAGTGCTATTCTCATGCTCGAAGACACCGCAGGTCTCTGTAGCTAGAAGCCAGTAATCCGTCCCAAAAGCAATGAGAAAAAGCAACACGCCGGTGCCGCCGAGGATCCCGGCTGTGAGGGCAGCTACTCCAGCCTTCATGGGGCAGCAGGTAGGCAGCAGAGTTGAAAATCGGAAAAGAAGAAAAACACTGAAGTTTCCAGGGTCACTGGAAGAGGGGGACAAGACAAGTGCTATTTTTGGACACAGATAATAATATTCTCCTGGCTGGTGTGAGTTTCAGTGGGAGGTGGGAACAGGACTAATAAAAGCAGATGACCTGGTGTAACCAAACAGCTGTGGCATTAAGGAACATGACAAATAGCTATTGATACAGAGCAGGAAGATTTCCAAATAAACACATGGCTGTTCGTTTCAGAAGAGCAGTGCAGAGAGGCCCCCGCCTTGGCCAGTCGGGCATCGTCTGTAGTTCACAAGTGGTTACCATGCAGAACTGCCCAGGACAGCGGAGAGTTTTTAAAATCCCATTTGTGCATGAGATTAGCAGAAAGGCTGTGCACAGCTCGGGCAGATCTGAACTCGAAGATCTTTGCCATGTCATGGGGTCTGCAGCTTCCGCAGCTGTTGCTGTGAGATACCTTCAGCCACGTCCTCGCAAGTGCAGTATAGAGGTGGCACTTCTGGAATACGTGTCTCCTTCAGCTCCTGCTTCCTCTGAACAAAATGCTAATGCAGCTTTCACACAAAGTAACTCCAGAGATCCAAGCAACAGCATTAAAACATGGTGATATCTTAAATACCTTGATGCTCTCAGAAATGATGCAATCAACCCATACAAACACATTTAAATCTGGCAGGTCCACATCTAGTTAGACAAGGAGAATTAAAATCAGTCGTACATACCAATAAACCTAAAGTGCCTTGCTCTGCAGCTGTAGAAAAATGTTCTCTCTCCTGCCATAGAAGAGTGGACTATATAGCATCCATACCCCTCCCACTGCCCAAGCCTTCCGTGGAAGAAGTGTCTTGGGGGGATGAGGACATTCCTGCATGGAATTTCATTGCCATTTGGTTCCTAATGTTTTTGTCTTCTGCTGAAGCATCTGCTGTAGATCACTGCCAGGAATGGGATGCCAGACTAGGAAAATTATAATTTCTGTAGGGCAATAACTATATTCCTGTAACATGCCAGGAAACTGGAGGAGGAAATTTAAATTACAGTGAAAAATTCAAGTTCTGATTTTCTGACCTTAGACTAAGTCATGACCTTTTCTAGAAAGGAAGATAGATGAAGACGTTGACTTCCTTGTCCTATGGGATTTTGTGTTGCCAAATTAATTTCCAAATCAATTTAATAGTTAAAGTTAACTGTGAACATATGGGTATCTCAGAGAAACTGCACACTGGTTAGGGAAACTGGAGAGAGTTGGGTAAAATTTTGACTACACTTCTAGCCAACTGTTGAGGCATATGGACTGATGAATATGCTCGTTCTTCTTCTATGAGCACAATAGACTTTAAATTATAATAATTTATTCTATCCTCTGCATTGTTCTTTCTTAAATATTGCAGGGATAGCTTTTAAATAATACATTAGACCTCTCTTCCTCACTGTCACAGTAGCAAAGCTGCTGACTGCTTAACTTAACTGTGAGCACATGAGGCATCCCATAGGATCCAGGAAAGAGGTCCCTGCCCGGAGGAGTCCCTGCACTGATGCATGGAGAAAGGAAAGGCGGGACAGGTTGCAGACTTACCATCATGCAAGGTCTAAACTCAGCCACGGTCCCCACAGCCCTGTTAGAGCTACAGCAGGACTGCAAGAGGCAAGAGTGTAAGGAGGGCAGAAGATGTCATTGCATCTGGCACGGTGGGGCAGACAGTGGGTGGGCAAGGCAACAGGGAGCTGCAGGACAAGGCCAGCAGGTTATCTCAAAGGTTAGGTTTGCATCTTGGTTGGTCGCTGAAATGGAAAAATGCCTTCTGATGTTAGTATGATGAGAAGAAAGTCCCCACGGCGGGGCTGAACACTGCTCTCAACAGGTAGAGACATCGTTGTGCAGCCTTCAAACAGGGAGCAGTGGACATGCATCTGGCGGGAGAGCTGTGGTACAAAGGCCATTTTCAAGTAAGTGAAAATATACATCATGTCTCTGGCCTGCTTAACCATCCCTTTTCTTCCAAGCAAATTATTTAGTCAGCTAAAGGAGAGGAGAAATCATTCTGACATAATACAGCCTCCCACCAAAAACCCTTGGCATGCCTGTGGGGGAGCCACGGGTGGCTCCCCTCCTCCCGCGCTCTCTCAGCAGTGCCACCTGGGAAACGAGCCCTCCCCAGCCCTGTAATTCTGCGTCAGTAAACACACAGAGACCCTCCTCAGCCACTGACTCGTCTTCCCACATTTAGCTGCTGTCTCTGCTGGAAGCAATCCCTGCCACTGCGATGGGTTTGCACCTAGGTGTTTGGGGCCAACCCTCCCTACACCATCACTCATCCTGTTCCTACGTGTATTAACCCACTCCCAGCCCATCCCTGGGCAGCCCAGCATATCTACTCTTTTTCCATAGTTTTGAACTACAATAACATACCTATCTCACAGCCATCCTGTTACTTCACAAGCAACAATTACTGCCATGAGATGACCTCTTTGTACTGAACATTAAATGGTTAATTAAATACAAAGTGCAATATATCTATCACCTAAATAATCTTCAATAAGTGAAATTTCAATCAGTTGCCATTTAGCTAACATGTAATACTGGTTAAACCTGTCTGAAGTGACAAGGAAAATCGGTTGTCATCTATTCTTGTGATCTGTATCTCAAAGCTGAACACGACTGACGGCGGAGCTTTGGCAATGCCTGAAGGAGCTCAGTAAAGACAAGGGTTTGCACACCAGAAGTGAGGACTTTTTTTGCAGATTGCACTGCAACTGCATAAAATTAAAATGCAAAGTGGGCACTTGTGTATTTTTTAAAAAGGGATTAATGCACACTTCCACATCTACGTGTGTGCTTTTTAGTCAGCTGTATTTGGCATTGCTGTATTTATGCTAATGTGTATTCACAAGTGAGCGCTGTTTGCCATTTGGAAGGTGTCCTCAGCAATTCTCAGTCCCATTGGCAGAAAAAAACCCTGCGTGGCTGAGGTAGAGCATTGCTGGTGCCCAGCCTTGGCTCCTCACAGGCTGTTATGTGCCCAACCAAACATTTTCCAAATTCTTAGGCTGTAGAATAGGAATTGAGTTTGCAAGGTCAAAACGTCTCTCCACGAAACAAGCTTTCCCTTTTCCTTGGCACACCCCAATGCACACGCTCATCACTGTTAGTATCTGAAAAATTCCTGGACACGATGGACAATGAGACCGTGCCTGGGGCACCGGCAGCTGCAGGGACGGGGCAGCTGCTCCAGCAGCACGTGGTGGGAGCACCCAGGCTTGCTGGGGACAGCTAATGCCTGTGATGGAGCTACAGCACACTTATGCTTCCTTCCATTCAGCTTGATTATTTGTTTTTAATTAGATGTCAACCCCACTGCATCCAGCCAGTCCAGAAGGTGCTGGCTCCTCACACCGGCAGGCTCTGAGGGCTACCAGAGGAGCAAATTCCTTCAGCCCTGCTCAGCCGGGGTTCACCTAACCTCTGCAACCCCCCTTGCTTCTCTATTTCCCCAGTGCTTGGGGGGAAAAAATAGATAAAACTAAAATTCTTATACTAGGAATGTTTTTTTCATAAGACTAATAAAAAAAATAGTTCCTTTACTCATCAGAAAAAAACATCTTTATAAATTATAAGATTCAGACCCATTCTGTTTTTGAATTGTAAATTAGTTTTTTGTTTTTCTTTTGTGCAAGCATTTTATTCGTATAGATTTTATACAATGCAATAGACAGCCTTGTTAATAGACAGGACACACATATACTAGAAGAAAAGAAAAGGAAAAAAGAAAGAAGAAACAGCAAGGAAGCCACCAATAAATCATTCCAGCCCCCCTCTCTTCCTCTGCAGTTAGAAAGGGCTGGGGATTTTCTGATGAACTAATCAGAAAATGTGAGGTTTAAAAAACTAATCATTTTTGAGGAAGGGCTGGGGTAAGTGAGTACCTCTGGAAAAATTTTAAGAAAGACATTTCTTAATTTTGAACGTTTTATTTCAACATTTTCAAATAAAAAAATCCATTCGAAGGGGAAAAACACCTTTTGATAGCTATCAAAGAATGAAAACAATTATTGAAAATGTAAATTGATGCAAAATTTTTAATAAAATATTTTTTTACATTATGGTCGACTCATCCATATTTTTTCCTAGGCTGCTTCATGATGTTGCCTTTGCACCTGAACTCTGTGTGGAAATGCTGCCCCTGTGAAAAACATGTAGAGTATTGGGGTTCAGGCTGCAGACCTGGGGCCACATGATTAACATCCAACAGCCAGCACTTGTTATTGGGAAGCCACAAAAAAAATCACAGTGGGGCCATAAGGATGGCTCAGTATCTGCCCATCCTGAGCTCCACATCCCTTTTATTATACAAAAATACTGTAAAACAAATCCTGAAATTGATAAATTTTCAATTTCCCTAACATAATGGGATTTCACTCTTCATCTCTCAGCATCACCAAGGGCTTGAGAACCCCTGATTTTACTCTTCCAGCAGAGATGATCTTTAATTTAGAGAAGGAAAGAAAATTTCCCAGCCGGGACCAGCAAGCCCTGGTACCGTTGGCCCCAGGTCCCGCAGATGTTCTGCCTGGTCCATCCCACCACGCAGCACGCTGTTCGCTGTTCGAGAGGCACTTCCAGAAGGTGATGCAGCTCTTGGTTGGCCTGAATGACCATGAGAACCACACTTGTTTCCTCCTACAAAGTAAGCATCTGCATGTCAAACAGGCTACCTTGTGCACAGGCGCCGGGCAGGCCCAAAGGCAGGTGTTTGTGTGGGGGAGCAGGGGAGGGGAAGCAATGATCCCAAACTAGTCTACAGCCTCCTCTCATCACTAGCTGGTGCCTGAGTTAATATAACACCCCTGAAGCACTGTAGCTACAGGCTTAGGACCCCCATGCTAAAAAAAAAAAAAAAAAAAAAAATCCAAACAACTAAACAAAAAAGTAACATCCTGCCACCCTTTCTCAGCTTGTAGAAATTTATAATGATGTTGATTGTCCCTTGTAGCTTACATTGGATCTCTGGAGTGCTACACCAAAGCTAGGTAGATGTATTAACTGATCATCACCATGATCCGTACAAAAATCAGACACAAATACCATTTATTTACCAAGGAAAATGACCCTCCCTTTCCTCTTCTGGTGCCAGCAGGGAGCTGCACTCTTATCCAGAGGAGTTGAACAAAGGTGCCACCACAGACAGCACTAGGACCTAGGTGTAAGGAAATGGAAGTCGTCTCCTGGGCATTTCAGTGCCCCTTATTTCCTAATTCACCCTGATGCTTTTTTTTTTAACCTTAAGCTTTTAAACTGAAACTGTGACTCTCCAAAACACATGTACTCTAGCAAAGAGCTGAGGCTAGTCAATTCAGATTTTTCACAGAATCAGTGTTTTACCTTTCAATTGATCAAAGACTCCGTCAGCACAGTCAAAGTTACCATTATTTTTTGTTTTGATCCATGCTTGCAGAAAAATTATATATTATGTAGATAGATCAACATATTTTCACTCTCTCATGATGAAAGCAGAGGATTTCTTGAAATTTTATAAACAGATGTGATTTCAGAGCTACCTTCAGAGACTTCCTCGAGTCCCCTTGGAGAGCTGCGTACCTTTCTGCATTGGAGCTTACCCTGACAATCTGTCATGCCCTGAAAGACATTCCATGTAGTGCTTCCTTAGGTAGGTGGGGTGAAGCTCTCTTGTGGGTTTCTGCCTTTACTGTTGGCTCCACAAACCTCAGAAAAAATAAACCACCAAAGAGAGAAAAGCCATCCAGACCACAACAAGTACTACCCAAGTGCTACCAACTTTGCCTTAGAAATGCCACCAACATCCCTGGATGGTTTTGCAAAGAGCAACCCCCCCAGTATAAACTGCACAGTAAGGGAGAGGAATAGATATCCACACATTGGTATTTGCCCCTTTAATTCTGCATTAAAATTATAATCACTGGTTCATCTCTGCCACATGATCCTTCTTCATCTCTCCCGTCTACATGTCTCTTGGAAGAAGCACATAAGCCTGGATGTTGAAAGATCCTTAATGTTTCTTATGAGTTTGAATATCTCCCAGTACTTGATGTCAGAAAAGAAAAAAGCTCAAATTTGCCTCACCTGCTTCTTAAGTGTTGCCAGTACTTTCCAGGATCAAACCATTATGATCTCCTTAAGCAGTCATGAAATAAAATAAACACAAGTGTGATTTTCTGGTCAAAATGAAAATTTTAAAAGTCCACGTGCTGAATGCACATGCTTTTTGGAGTTGCAAGTGCAAGGGAGATTTACAGCCTGGTTTCTAAATGCGGCTGCTTGATCTATGCACCCAGACTTTTCTGATGTAGCTTTTGGGCTCTCACTTTGCCATTGAGCTACTTCCCATCATTAGCAACTTTTGCCTATTTTAACCTTAACTTTCAAAAGACTCCTGTAAACTTCCAGAGTAAGCACAGAGCAATAACTCTCTGAACTACTAAAGGAATCAAACTGATGCAATTTATTTCCACAGAACCATGCAATATTCAATGATACACTGAATCCATGTTTTTAACACTTTTTAAAGGACTAAAACCCTGGAAAGAATTAATTAGGCATGCTCTCAAGCCTGAGCATTTAACAGTTTTCCACTCGGTTGTAGAATTTTAAGACCATCAACACTGGATACTGGCAAAGATTATCAAAGGTATTCTGGGCTGAAATACATACTAGTCAGAGAGCTTGGCCACTAAGCAACTGGAAAATACTTCAGGAAAGCTTTAGCTGTGCTATTATATTTTGTAAAGAAACTTTAAGAAAAAATCCATAGTATCTAGAAGGTTAAATTGGGGGCAGAGTGACTCATTGGGAAAGTATGTACTGCACAGAATATTGTCTTCCCTGCAGATCAAGCAAATTGTTAATACATCAGAGAGGTATTTATGGTCCCAGCACTGCAAAGCAGGGTTGAAAGGGATTAAAGGGCTGAGATCTGCACAGAATCCGGCCAGTGCATGTGCACAGGGATGCAGGGCTGGCTGGAGCAGCCTCTGCAGCCACAAGCCACCCAGCTGCACACCTGGAGCTGAGCAACATCTGGAATTGCTAGCAACTGGGAGATCCTAGCATCAAAATGTCTCTTGTTGTGCTAAAACAAGTTGAAAATATACAATTTTGAAAAAATGCAAGCAAAAATCTTTTTTTGGTTTTTCTACATCAGATAACGTTTCAGTTCCATTTTCTGGAAGTGTCTGGATTTTTCCAACCATTTCCATTTCCTACTACAGTATTACAAAGAAATCTACACATGCCAGAACAGCTACCATTAGATAAGGCCCTTGGTAGCCCATAACAATATTGCAGAGAACTCATTTTACATGATGAGAAACTTAAATGGCAAAAGATCATTATTTAACTACCCAACCCCCAGAATCATGATGGATGCAGTACAAGACAAGGATGCTACAGGCATCCAGATATTTCAGACAAAATCAAGACAGATCAGAAGCCAAAAGAAAAACAAAATAAAACACAAAAAAACCCCCCCACCACCAAACAAACCACCAAGCAAAAATTGGCCAAAGTATTTCCAAAGTTGATTAATTGTTGATTTAAAAAAAAATTGATTACAAATTCCTTGGCAAGTAACTTGATTTATTTTCCTTTTTGCTCTCCAGCTATAGAATAAAAAGGACCCATCTTAGTAAATCTTTCTACAGCTATTTACTATGCAGAACTTAAGGAGAAATTTTAAACACTGTGGACATTAAACTGCAGGTAAACGGCAGACATTCCAACCCCAGATAGCCAAAGACCTTCAGACTCGGTATTTTTTCCCTCTTGCTTGTATGCAATTGCTTCTGCCAACAGACAGACCGTTTTTCTCTCTCATTACAATCGCTTACCCGGCTCGTGGTCCTGTGATCACTGACCCAGGGCTGCTGAATGCGCCGCTGTTCGAAGCGGATCTGCTGGGCTTGCTGTGCCGGACCGATGACATCCAGCGAGACACCCCCACGTGTCACCAGCTACCGCTGACGTCATCGTGAGCGAGTTGTGGGTGCAAGGAGGTAATGACTCTTAGATGATCTCATAACACAGCGTATTTAATTGAAATAGAAATGTAGTACATTACAACGTATCCGTGTGTTGCATATTACAACGTATTCAAAGATGGGCAGGTTTCTAAACAAAGTGTAGGCGAATCCACAACTCTCATGCAAGATGGGTTAAACTAGGAAACAAACCAAAACCTTAATACAGTAACTGAAGACAATGGACTTATACTAAAATCACTGAGTATGTATATATATGTATAAATGCACACAAAATACACATATAAGGCTAAAAGGTCCAGTCTTGATTTGCAATGAGTGATGGGGCAGTGAAGAATGGCCTTCAAGTCAAAATGAACTATATCAACTTACGTCAGGACACTGTAAAGGTGTTTGTTCGAATGACAATGAGACCCTCATGTTACTGCAAAGCAAATACACCTGATTTTGTGACTTTAATGTAAAATTAAAGCCCCAGTGTACCAGACAGTGGTATCCTACTGGAGTATTTCTGCGCACAGGCAATTAGCTCTGGTAGTACAAAAATATCATGGAAGGGAGTATGCAAATTCCTATGGTTTCTTTTATTTTTATTTCAGAAAGAGACACTCGTTCTGATTAAATACTCTCAGATCCTTCAATGAAAAGGAAGGGGAAGATAAAGAAAAGTGTCGATATTTGTGATGATAAAACTTACCCTAACGGGTTCAGCTAAGGACATGAATTCAAATCCTTGAACACTTACCTGAAGCTTCAAAGAAAATTACTCAAATGTGGAGATACCCGCCTTCCTCAATGATCACACCTTTCCTGGCAGAAGCACTCCACAGCAGTGACGTTTCGGGTCCCTCTCTCTGCCACGTTTTCTAAGGAGATGCGTTCAAACCTCCTCCGACCCCGCAGTGCTCGGCCACGGCAGCAGAGAGCATCGGGGAGGCTCTGCAGGCCCGCTGCACCCAACTGACCCCACACGAGGCTCGCCCATCTGTTTAAGGGCTGGCACGCTCACCTCCTGCTATCGCCACTGGATTTGGAGCTTCCCTGTTTTATTTTTTTGAGGTGAACCACTCCCTAAATAAATTTTTAAAAAATCAGTAGGAATACATTTTCCCCCTTTACACAGTTGTAATAGGTTTTCATTAAAAGAACTGTGTCTAGGTGTAGGACAGTCCATCTGGTAAGACACAATGCCTTATTTGACTATATGATTTAACTTTGGACTTCACGTAATTAATATTCATAGTCAAGACCCATCAGTTCCTAAGGAGCAGAAGGGATTTCTCACTGTTTCTGCTGTCTTTCCTGGTGGCATGCTCCATCGCCTAATAAAACCCTCCTTGAGATTATAAAGTTTTTCCTAACATATACTCTAAATGCTTCCTGCTGTTTAGTCTATCCCTGCTGACTAATGAGAAGATTTGATATCTCACCTTGTTAAAACATCCTTTCTTGCAGTTGTATAAAGTTTCAGCAATTTTCCCAGATTGAACAGACCAATTTTTCCTAGACATTTCTTAGAAATTCTCTCTCAGCCATTACCTTGCATTGCTAGTGCTCAGCTGTGCATCTTTCCCCTTGGTTCCCGTTAAGAACCCAGCATTGTGCAGTAACTGCTCAGGATATTTTGCCCTGTCCACGCTGTTCTTTTCCATATGCATCTTATTTACATTATCTACATGTATAGTAGCCATCCATGAAACAGAGCCAGATTCCCCCATGGGAATCCAACAGCATCACTTGTGCTTTTACATCTCCAAAGTCAGCTCTTTTTCCATTTCTTTCTTCTCACCCCAGGCTGTACTGCTGGGCTGCTGCTGTGGGATGACACACACCGACTTTGACCGGTTCTGTCTCACTTCCCGAACCTTTTCTGCATTTCCCACTGTGGGAAGAAAAAAACACCAACTTGTATGAGAAATGTTCTCCTTTGTGGGTCAACAGGAATGAAGAAATACCAAGAACTACTGAGGTTGCCATTTGCTCATTGGGGATGAGTTATTACACTGCAAGGATCACTTCAATTATAAAACAGAAGACAAAGATCAGTGTTTCAATGGAAGAAAAAATAAAAGACAATTTAAACCCTATTTTTTATTTTGAAATATGTTATGTATCTGGATCAATATCATCATTCTTTTGTCAGTCCCCACCAGCAACTGTGCAGAACAAAAATTCTATCAGTGACTACCTTAAAGTAGCTTCTCAAGATGCAGGTGTCTTATTGGAGCACCTATAATTTCACATTGCCACGTTAAGTGACTGGAGAGGGGGGGATGTACCTGCGATCATGATGGAAGGGTTACAGTCTCCTTCATCCCTGTTGCCAGCGTATGTCAGAAGCCATTGTGCTCACACTTCCCATGGGGCAAAAAAAACCCACCCAGAAACACTGCTTTTTATCACTTTGTTCTGCTTACACTCATGTTTTTCTTCAGGAAGAACACAGTTTAAACATTTACATTAACCTGTGGATTAAAATAGCTACATCCTCAGCAGGTGTCCATGTTATGAACACATGAATGCCACACAATTGTGTTCCTTCCATCTACTCTTGCAAACCTGTAGCAAGATACCTCTGTGTAGACAAAGTGCCAGCTATTCTACAGCTCTTCATTTTGCAAGTTTTTTAGTTATTTGTTTAAAGAAAATCCCAAAGGAAGAAAACATTAGAAAGAGGACACAAAAAGATTGAAAGGACAAACTTTCTTGCTGAAGTATTTCTCCAGTATATATGTAATAAAAAAATATTCTATATGTTTATGTTAAACCCAGCCCCTTAACCTATCTCAGCCCATATTGGGAGGCAACATTATTTTTTTTGTTATTTTCAACACTGAATCTTTTCCGTCATCACTTTTACAGATACGATTGTGCTAAAAGGTGTTGTGCCAAGTATTGTAAAAATCCAATGCTCAGTTTCCCACTGAACATCTCATTGTGGTTCAGAGGCTAAAATGACTCTGTCTACAGTTTTGACTGGCTATACTTTATGTGAGGCTTCACTGATAGTAAGCCTTTTATTTTTTTTTTTTTTTATGTGTAAAAACTAAGCTTTCAGTTATCTGAAAACTGAGCTTGGCCTTATGAAAACATGAGGTCTTGAGCCACTGATCTTTCTGTAACAGATATTCAAAACAGACAGTGCTGCTAATGGAACACTTGAAATGGATTTTAATAATACTTAGAAAACGAAAAAAGTAGATCTTAATCTTTGGAAAGCATTTGGGCACAAACTGCATGTTTTGAAGTATCAATCAATTTTATAAAGTTTTAGTTTATGCATTAGCATCACCATAGGCAGAATGATCTGTAATTACTGCCAAACATCCAGCGCTTGGGGGAATATGAAGAATGGCACCAGTTTCAAATGTTTGCCTGGCTGAACATAGGAGACAAGAAAAACTGTAAATTCAGACAACCCCTGCAGCAGACAGGGAGTAAGGAGGTCAGACACCTGGGCCGGGACGCACTACTCACTGCTGTGGTTCCCAGCACCCCTGCCTGCCCCCGTGTAGTTGCCTGAGCACCTTCCCTGCCAGCTGTGCCCCCCAGCACACACCAAATCTCGTCTCAGGTCAGGCTAAGATGGGGCATTGGGGCTGGGAAGGCTCTTGGTTCTGCTTGCTTGCTCACAGTGCTCATTTAAGGAGCCCCACTCTGTCCCCTGGGCTGGAACAATGCCCCCACCAGCACCACACAGCCCAGGGCTCCCGCTGCTGCCGGCAGCAAGGCAGGCAGGGAGGGCAGGAGGCTTTGCCTTGGCTGTCTCCCAAATCCCAGCACTGCAACAAACATGCCATGGACCTCAGCACATCCTCCCCGTCACCTGCTGGGCCATCCCTGGGGACAGGGCAGGGCAAGCAGGGGAGGTGGGAAACCACCACCGGCACCCACCAGCTCCCCAGCTTACCAGTGAGTGAGCGGCACAATTTGGGCTGCGTGCTGGAGTCACCCTGCACAGAGTAGGAGTCGTCTTTCTGTGATTAAGAAAGAAAAGTACTTTAATGCATTTATGAAGATTGCTAGCAAGTCTGTTAATGACACTCCTGCTTCATAAACAAGCCATTTGCAATCCCCAAGGACTCCGTTTCCATTTGTTTTACTTTTGCCAAGAAAAACAAAAAGAGCTATTGCTAAAAATAGACCGAATAGATGGCAGAAAATATTTACAGACACTGATTTGTTTCGGGTTGGTGGAAGAGGTCTGAGCTCTCCAGGAGTGATTCGGCAGATAGGATGGGAAGGAGCAGCCCTGGAGCGGGGAAGACAGGGCAAGCGAGTGTGGGAGGCAAAGCCCATCCCAGAGACATGGATGTTTCTCACCTTGGCTGTTCCCCACCTTGGCTGCAGACCAAGGAGGCAGGTAACGAGCTTGCACTAACGAGCTCCCTGTCCTTTCACTCCAGTGCTAATCTCCACCCTTCAGCAAAAAAAAAAAAAAAAAAAAAAAAAAAAAAAAATCAGGTAGCATAATGCTGTCTGAATTGTTTAGTGCTTCTGTAAACTGGGAATAAGTCTCTTATGCAGCTGTGATTTGGCACCTCAGTCCACAGAAACCCAGGCTGCCAAAATAACTCTGGACACCTCCCAGCCTGGTTTTGTTTTGTTTCGGTTCATTCTCCTCCCTCCCCTAACGAGGACCGATGCCCTCCATCCCTTGTTCACACTTTTATTGACCATTTTAATAACAATGCCTGCCCGGCTCCAGCAGCAGCGCCGGGCTCCCTGGAAAGCCATTCCCAGGGGCGTTTAACGATTCTCAGAGCATGCTCCATGAAAGGGCTCCAACATAATTACCAAAGGCAGTATGTCATTTACGCACATGGCTTACAGGCAGCTCCAAATAAGCTCCTTCTGGGGGAGTGTACTCGTGTTTTGGCAGAAGAAAAGAGGACAAAGTTGCCTGGCTACAGGTGCAAGGATTTTCTGGGTGCTCGGTGGTAAATAAAAGCTATCCTGGGTCTCAGAAACCGCCCTACAAGCATTCTCTGTGTTGGATCCTTGCCTAAAATAAGGCAAGCCCAAAATCCGGACAGCGTTCAGAGCCAGCGTGATGCACAGCTCCAGGAAGCAGCAGCCTTCATCAGGAATTTTGTCCTTAGGCAGAGGAAGGCGAACTTTCTGCTGGAAATAGTCTTGGAGTTAATCCTCTGGGCTACGATTCAGATCTGAAGTCACCTCATAGTCTTGCCAAGGGTTTTCTGCCTGTTGTAAATCATTTGACCTGCTCCGTTGGCTTGGGAAGGATGAGGATTGTTCTTTTCTTACTGCTCGCTGCCTTCCCTATTCTCTCTCCAACCTCTCCTTGGCAGGGGCTTCTAACGCAGCCTAAGAGTCATCTCTCACTCCTGTAAAAGCAAGGGTAGACACCTAAACTGCAGCAGACCCCTAAGGCACCTAAACTACCCAGGTCAGAGAGAAGAGGTGATTCCTCCTGGCTGAAGCCTGGCATTGGCCATGGACCGGTGGCTGTCCTGGCAAGGGCACCCATTTCTCCACACTGACTGCTGAAGGAGATGGGTTGTCCATCAGGCAAGATGAACTTCACTTTTGGCTCTTCTCCAGTCTGTCAGAGCCACAGACCTGTAGAAAGATGCTCTTCCATACCTACCTTATTTTTGTGGTGACTGATACAGCGGGAAAAGACCAACCAGCAGCTAATAAATTATGAGATTAATTTAACTGAGATACAACAGCTTCATATTTTAATAGCAAAGGACTAACCAACTTCACTGGAAAAGAATACATGGAGACAGCCAGCAAGCAGAAAAAGCAGTGTTTCTACTGAACCAAAGGGATTTTTAAATTATTCAATCAGCTCATAACACCTAACTGATTGAATGCATCACCAAAGGTTTTTTCAAATAGACTGGCAGTGGAAGACATGCAGGCATTTCACCAGCACTACAGGGTTTTCTGTGGCCCTTTGCTTGAAGTTTGTTTCACAGTTCCTTGATTTCCAGTTGGATTTGCAAACACAGTTGTAACACTTCCATCTCGTGGTGAAATGCAGAATAGAAAAATGTGTGGCATGAGAGCAACTAGTTTTTTATTGCTGACTCAAAACCTGTAAGGCCAAACCCTTTTCCCTTTGGGACTACAAAAGATGGAGTATCTGACAATTAGAAAAACACTAACTAGCTATATTTTTCATTCATCTATTTTTTAAACAGGAAAATGCCATTTGCTTGTCAACTTGGCATGAAACTAAATCTGAGTGGCTTAATTTTTTTCCCAAAAATTTTAAATATTGAGCTGCTTTTCATGGGCTGAAATCTACTTTTTAGCAGGGTGTTCCTTTTTTCTGCTGACAAATTCTGAAATCTGTCCTCCTACAGTGTGAAATAACAGCATTCACCCACCCTCCCACCTCGTGTTAATATTCCAGGGCTCTTTTAGAACATTATCCCATCCCTTTTGGGTATTGCCTCATTTCTATCTGCAATAAAATGAGGCAGCTATTCTAAAACATTAGCAGATAAGCTGATGATCACAGAAAACACGCCTGACTCTTCCTTTTGGGTGCAGAGGGATGCTTCTTGGGCTTAGAGTCACCCTTACAGATGTCACTGGAATCAGCTCTCTGTATTTACATCTGCTACACTTAGGCTGGCTCAAAGCAAAGGTAGCTGCTGTAAAGAGGTGTGATTAGCACCAACAAATGCTCCTATGAGACAGCAGTATTAGGCATCAAATTGGCATTTTGCATAATCCATAGGAGCATTTGCCACCCAGACAGGTTATTAGCCACCATTCTTGAGTCGGTATAGAGACAGAGTGAATTCTACTGCTTTTGCAATTCCCCCCAAAATACTCTGTTCTCTGAAAGGCCAGCTTGTAATCATTCAAAGTAACAGAAGAAACAGTCGTCCCTAAGGTGCTAAATTTCCTACCAAATGTGCCGCAGTACCAAATTGGAGCAGCAGTGGAGGGGAAAGCAGGAGCACAAGGGTTAACAATCAAATGTCCTGAAAGTATGTAACATCGTGCTCAAAATCAGCCCGAGTTTGATGTTGTTCTTTTGAAGTTTATTTATACCAAATGTTCTACAGGAACATGCCATGTTCTTGCCTATCTATTTTGAATTGTAAGTACCAATCAGCATGTAAATGATCAAATTAAATCTTTTAAGTTGTCTGCAAGAGCCGGAACACCTTTCTGTGAATGAAGGGCTGAGAAGCAGCGGCATTTGGTGTGTTACTGCCGTTCTCAGTGGGCTCTTCAATGACTGGCATTTGAACAAAGAAATCAGAGTGGAAGAAAGCCTGAGGCAGTCCCGAGTTCTTATGCTGTCGTGGAAAATTACTATCTAAATAGAGAAAGATAAATTATTTCTTTTTAAAAGGTCATTCTGTTCTCCTCAGTGATGGAGTCTTGCTGCCCTGATTACAGACCGCAGTTTGCAACTGGACAGTGCTCTAGCTCAAGCCACTGAAACCTAAGATTCGAAGTGGGTGAAATTTAGGGATGGCTCAGAAATCACTGCTGCTGACCTGCGGGAGTTGGGAGAAAAATATGGGGGTGAAGGGAGTGGGGGTAATTGCTTTTTCTCTAGAGCAAGAGTTACGGAGGATAGGAGGAATTGAGAAGACCAAGCCCATTCCTCATACACCATTCCTGGACTATTTTGTCTTTTCATGGGGAAATGTTGACCCACCTTCTCTCACTGATTTCCAAAGAGGTCAGCAAAAGTCTTCACCAGCCACAGACGCTGTAGTTACCTTGTTTCCCCTCTTATTCAGAACATGAAATGACATGGGGCTGTGCCAGCATTAAATCTGGACTCAAAGTAGTTCTCCCAGGAATCCAGTATGCAACACTTCCCTCTATTTTACTTCCTTCAAGTCTGCCCAGAACCATAGTTGCTTTCAAAAACAAAAAACTCACCTCCAGAATAAATAAGAAAGTTCACAATAATGCTTCTGTCCTTTCAAAAGGGGGGGGGGTGGGGGGGGGGGGGGTGGGGCGGGGAAACACTGAACAGTTTCAAATATTTACAGTCCATCTGGACCGCTGACAATGGGTGAACCAAATTCCTGCCTTTGACAAAATCTCCCAGAAAAGAAAACATGGGAGAAACAGACCTCTGAATCTACCAACTGAAGCCCTATTAATAACATTTGCTTAGTAAATAACTTTCCTAACATGGATGGAAGCCTGTGTTCACAAAGCACTGAACAGCGTTGCACGCAAGATGGCTCATTTGTTTGTCAGGAGTTGGGTTGTGCTGTTCCTTTTCCTCAGTATTTCCTACTCACTGGAATAAGATTTAGGGTTGAGACACACTTTCTGGTTTTTAACTTAAGGCAACAGTATTTGTCTTTAAAAGGAAATACCACCAGCAGTAAAGAGCACTATTCCTAGTGCTTGGTATATCTGCTCAGGGAAAGCAGCCCATGCATGGTCTCTTCCAGTCTAAGCCTTCCCCAAGCCCTCCTACCTCCTTCCTGGAGCTGGCCGTGTCACCTCCACTCAGTTCCACCCGCAGGCTCTTGTGCCGGAGGATCAGGATCTCCTTGGCATGCTCCATGGGCTCGGTCTCTCCGGGAAGGGTGTGCCTGTTGTACGCTGGCCCCTGCACGTTGCGCCAGAGAGAACAGTATTGGGGGTGGGACCACCTCACCCCTCCACTAGTGCCTGCATCTTCCTTCACCCCCCTATGACCCTCCTGCCTAGTTATGGGGATAAACTGATCCACCCAAGTGTGAGAGGTGGGGATGGAAGGAAAGAGCCAAAGGAGGAGGGTGGGACTCCCAAACTCTGCTTCTTTATGCAAAATTGCCCAAGCAAACACCGAATGACAAGATTGAGACTCATCTCTATTAGTCCAGGTGACACACCAACCTAGCACAACTACACTGTTCAAAGTGTCTTCAGCCCCAGTGCCTCTGCCCAGCCCTCCAATATTTCATATCAGCCCACCTTCATATATAAATCATGCAGTCAACAGAAACCATAAATCCTGTTTCCAAAGCCATAAACCAACCAAAGTTAAATCCCCCACTAACATCAGTGGGAGTTGGGATAACTTTGTCGCTACAAGGGTTGAGGCTAGATTTAGGCAGGAGTAAGCATAAACAGGAGGTATGCCTTCATCCTCATCCCATTCATCATTTCTGTAAGTTTCCTCCCAGCCTTATCTAGTTGCTTATCTCAGCTCAGCAAGGGGACAGGAGGGGGTGGTTGATCCCTCTGTGCTGAGCTGCCCACACCAGCTGCATCCCCAAGGACTCAGTATTTCGTGCGTAATCCATAAAACAAAGGTTTAGGTGGATTTTAAGGATAAGTCTCTGTGTATCACCATGTGAACAGCAATTACAATGCAGAGTCCTAGGTGCTGTGTAAAACCTCAGACAGATTATTCATGAGTTATTCTGTAAACAGCAAGTGGTTTCTATGCTATTTACCAGTTGTACCAGTTTCATGGCAAAACTGCCAAGCAGCTTTAAAACCTCTGCAGATTAATTCTCACTCACAGCTCACTCACTGTGCTCTCTTCTGTGGGAAAAAAAAAGCAACGTGAAGATAACCCCATCCCTGCTCTGCCCTGTAGGTAACCAGGAGCTGTTGCAACTGCTGGATCTGCTAACCTGATGCCTGAAGATCCATGTGCTCCTCCTTTCTCCTTTCTGGTTCTGGGTACTGATGCCTAAAATACTTCATGAAATTATAGGCTGACTGGGTGAACCTTTCAAAAGCTGTCATGCTGCAAACAGAAATGTGCCACTGACTTGGAAACTGGATCTGGCTTCACACAGCCAACTATTCTCTGCTCACAAAGAGACATCATTAGTAATTATGTAAATATTCATAACATCTGCTCAGGCTGTTAGGATAACTGAGATAACTTTTGTTATTGGACATCTAAAATATAGATTGAGGGAAGAGATATACCGTTCTCCTTATTCGGTACAGGTTCCTTGCCAATATTTCCTGTATATTTTCCAGGACATCCGGATTCAGAGTAACCTCCAATTTTTTGTCTGTTATGACAGTCCTGTCGCTGTTGCTGCAATGAAAACCAGAATGCCTTATTTTGGAAGATACACAGCAGCACCACCAGTGCATCCCCAAAGCCCAGTGCTCCCAGCAGACCTTTCGGATCCCACCACCAGCAGGCATGGCCAACAGCTAATCCTTGCAGAGGGAGCTCACTGCAGAAGGGGCATTTGGAATTTGCATCAGAGCTGTGCCACCCATGTGTTCCTGGGAGATACAAGAGCTGTGGAGAGCTGTGGCAGAGCAGAACCGTCTGTGACAGATGAGATGGCCATTCCGACATGCAAATATTTGACCCTGCTGTCTCAGCTGATGCTCATTCTTGTGTTGGGTGCTTCAGTGCATGTAACGGTGCAAACCCAATAAAAAATGGTGCAAGAACCTCTTCCTCAGAGCACCATTTCTGTGAAACTCAGGGGGGATACAGGTGAGCCTCTATGTACAAAATCAGAAACTGTGTCCATCAATGACAGCAGATTGCTCATCCACCTGATGATTTTCAAATACCCACCTACTAAATCTTTAACTAGTGCTTACTTTGCATTTGTCCAAGCTATGTTGCTCCTTCCCATGGGATAGCCCAGCAGGGAAGAACAGAGGAGGCAGAATAGTTTGCAAAAGCTTTTTATAACTGTTCCCTCCGGTGGGAGGGTTGGGAGGAGTGACAGAAAGGGGACGACAGAGGGGAGCACTTACAGCAAGGATGGGTGAGACGGGGCATGACCCAGCTGCCCGGCTTCTGCCAGCTCGATGGCATGTTTCCGCTCCAGCTTTTCATAGAGAAGCACGATACTTGATTTTGGCTGGTCGTATTCTCGAAGCAGGATCTTCTGCAGGTATTTGCTGTTGAAATATTCTAATCTGTTTGAGAACAAAACAAGATGTGCTTAGCTTCCTCCCATGACTCTCCCTCTAAATGGACTTGAGCAAGCCAGAAGGTTCATAGTCCACAATTGCTTCACATTCCTTTATATTCCATTACCTTCTTTCCAGAAACCAATGGTACCACAGGTCAGTCCCTAATTATTTCTGCAATACAGTATACATGCGCTAAGATATTAAAACTTTGCCAAATACAATAAAAACTAAAAATGCCAGATTTATCAAGAACTCCACTATAAGTGCTACAAGTACATGCAGTAGCCCCAAGGGATGCAACAGATTTAAATGCTTCCAGATTCCCTCTTGAGCCATTTCCTCTCGCTTTCCGCTCAAATGCAGCGCAACCCTTGGGAAAGATATAGCCAGTGTCAAATACTGACACTCAAGTTTGGCTGTTGTTTGTTGTACAGAAGCCTGCTTGCAAAGAGCCTGGACACTGCAGCAGCAGCAATTCCCATACCCTCTAGTGGCACTTCAAGCACTGGCATCCCTCAGAAAATCCCTGCCAGCTGCAGTAATCAGAGTCCTTACCACCAAGTTAGCTGCATCTGTGTCTGAACAGCCAAGGAATTAAACCTGGTAGACTGCTATTAGTATATTTTATATTATTTCTATTTCTTAAATAAAAAAAATCTCCTATGTGTACAATCTACTGGAACTTAATGAAACTTGAGCAGTTTGCTACAAGAATCTGTAGAGATTCTCTACAATTTGTCAGTCCTCAACAAGCAGTCACCCGTCCAAGTGCTTCAAGTTCCTATTTGTACTGTTAATTATGCACACATCGGGTTGGAATCCTCAGCTCCCGCACGGCCAGACGGGCTGGATGGCACAGGCAGTGACAGGCTGAAGCCACACAAGCTGTGTGTTATGCTGGCATCGCCCTTTGATTTCCAGCAGATTTCTTTGGACAAAAAGGGACAAACACAATAGGAGAGGAGAAAGGAGTCTTCTTAGGTTGAAGTACAATATGTGACCTGCTAGCAGGAGCAGGGAAGCACCCTGAGAACCTGGTCTCACCTTGGACAAGGAAAAGCTGCCCCTCTGTCACCTGCTTTGTGCCACAAGGATCAACAAGGCTCAGCTGCCCACAGTGGAAACTTAGGGAATAGAAACCAGTCTAATTTTTTTCTACACATGTACATAGTTGCACTTTGGCAAATCCTTACTTGTCTTTCCAGTAATACTGTCCCCAGTGTCCAGATATATCTTCTATGCCAGCCAGCAAATGATCCAAGAACTAAACAGAAGAGAGGATTTTGCTATACACTGGTTGCATGTATTGCATACGTGATGAACTCAGTCAGCAAACATCAAACGCCAGCAGACAAAATGGGAGATACTTTCAGCTCAGTACACAGTGCCGGCAAACAAGAAGAGGGGCTGTTGGGCTGATTCCCCATCCAGGCATCCACACATATCCCTCAGTTTTGGAGTACAATAAGTGATTTGGCTGCTTGCTTTCTGGTCTGTGCAAGCAAAGAATAATCACTGAGGGACACGGATCCGCCCTTTATGATACATACTGGATGGCTGATGGCTTGCATGTCCTGCACTTTGGGCCCTGATAAGCAGGAAATGCTCATATTGAGGTTTCTGAGGACAATTTGTCTCCAGAAATCAGTATCTTCAGGATATAGATGTAGATAAGGTACAAACGGTGCTTTGACTTGAATAATGAATACCGCCGTCCCCCAGACACTTCCCACTAAATTAAATCACTGGCCATATCATGCCTTATACAAAAACATTATTATTGTTTAAAATGATATTAAAAATCCCAGGCAGGTTGATTTTTCCACCTAGAAGTAAAATATCTGTAATTTCCAAAATTCTTTTCCCTCTTACTGGCATCCCTAAACTGGGAGAGGGCTCTGCTCTACTGTGGGTCAATGCCCCTCCACACTCAGGTACCGATACCCCTGGAGCTTCTTCCAGCTCTAACTTTTTTAAAAAATATTTTTTTTGTGGGGTCAGAGACAGAAAGATTTCAGAGCAATTCCCTCAGTGCTGCTGTTTGGTACAGGTTTAGAGTCCTCACTTTGCTACTAGCAGCTGTATGGTCCAAAGACCAGCAAATGAACCCCACACACACTGATTACCACTCTTGCAATCAAGAATGTCCCAACTATCCAGACAGGTAAATACATTTGAGAAACAAAGCTGCTTCTGGCTTCTGCATCTCTGATTTCCAACCATCCGCATTGTTACCTTCTCAACTTAATTGGTACATAGCCATTTTCAGCTCCCATTTCCTAATAAACACGTTTCCAGAGATGATTTACTATTCACATACTAACAAAAGAAAGTATTCTCGGTTCATGATAGGAAAAGCCTCTTCAGCCTATTGAACTCTTCTGTTAACCTCAGACAAAGCCATGTAATACAACCTAATTGTGAGGATGCCAAACAGTTTTTATAAATGTCCTCAGACTTAATGTCTTTATTTCTAGCTGCCCAACAAGAAGACAAAAATATTCCTGAAGGAGCCATACCCACAGAAATGTGACTGGGCATAAAGAATTAGATTCAGAAATCTAATTTTACATTGGATGCAGACACAAATGCAAATCCTCAGCTAGGTGTACAGAATACCCTGCATTCTAAGGTAGTTCACCCACTCTCTGAAGAGATCTTCTATAACTAGAAAGGCCAACGTTTGGACGGTGAGAGCAAGGTGAACTAAAAATTCCACCTTTGGGTTAAGGACTTAGAATCACAGAATGGTTTAGGTTGGAAGAGAAGTTAAAGATCATCCTTGCCATGTGCAGGGACACCTTCCACTAGACCAGGCTGCTCAAAGCCCCGTCCAACCTGGCCTTGAACCCTCCCAGGGAGGGGGCACTTCAGTGGTTCCCTCCAATATAGTGCTAACTTTAAACTCCCTTTTCTAAACTTTTTTGCAAAAATATCCAAACTGGTGGTGGTGATGTGACTGGTGAACACATGGAAGATCCCAAAACTGAGAGCAACCAATTTTCATTTTCTTTCTTTCTTTCCAGAGAAGCAAAGAAGTTAGAGTTAGTTTAGAGTATGAACTTTTGGGCAAGTGATTATCTTTTTCTATCATGTTTGTGCACCACCTAATGCAACACCAGCCTGATTGAGTCAGTAGCTGCTACTGCAATGCAAATAATAACCCACAGTTAGAAAGCTGCATAGGACTTCAAACCTGGAAAGGGACTGACCTGCAGAGGATTCCAGTAAAATTGCAGGGCTGTAGAGTCCTTAGAGACACATCACATTGTCAAAGCATATTGGAAAGCTCTGGCTATGTGTTGATAGATGCATCACTTACCCGAATATGGATCTGTTCTCCCACTGTGGGAGCAGTCTCTCTTTTCCTCTTGACAGCCAACAAGTCAACAAGAGGACGGATGGTCATTCCCTGCAGCATAACCACAAAGACAAAAAAATCAACCTTCCTTCACATCAAATGTTCTCAGTGATATCTGCACTGGAACAAAAATCACCAGCATGGGTATGAGCCACAGCTACCTTGTTCTTTGCTAAAACAAGACCTGCTGTTTGAGCTAGCCCCCTCTCATCTGTTCAGTTTTATTAGCAAAATAAAATTTGCAAAGCTTTGACAACGCTAGAAACTCTGTTCTCCCAACTATAAGCCATACAATTTGTTTGCTCGTGGTAGTAGCCTGTCAACAGGACCTCACATGCAGGCTTTAGGATGGGGGTAGGCAGAGAGGGAAAATGCTCTGATATCCTCATCTGGCATCTCAAAGACCAAAAGAAGTCAACCAATAATTTCAAGGTCAAGCCTGTGACTTGCTGTTGCTTGTAGCCTACCAGATGGAAAAGGGCTTGAAATGTTCAAAGTTTAAATGCCTGAAACAATAATAGTCCTCGAGACTTCATAGCACACAGCCTCTGCCAGCATTTGTCTGCTAACTTTTTGAGTATTATATGTCACAGATCATTACTCCAATGATCTTTGATGGCCAGTCAGTAGCTGAGTTTACTAATCAAAGTATCCACCTGGTGGAAAGGGCCAAGGGAAGAGTTTTAATGTCCTTTAAGCCTCATGAGAGAACTTCCAAAATGCTGTTTTGTTGCATTTCTTAGTCTGGCTTTAGTATGAAATTACTTTTCTAGGACATGTTTACAGCAAAAATGATGGAGTAGTTGATGTTTATGACTTCTGAATGTCACAAATGCTGGCACGGAGGAGAGTTGAACACATTTTTAATTGCAGAAACAATTAATGTGTCATTTTAATAGCTAATAGCAATAAAGAATTCAGAGTAAATAACATAAAACTCACAAAATCAGAAATAACAGATATTACAAAATTAAGTAGAGACTATGCAATTTGGTGTCTTGACTTCAGCAGATAATCAGCTGCAATTTTTTTCATTTTAAAGTGTCACTTTGGAGTTTTGGACCAGGACTACATAATTTAGAAACACCTGAATTCTTTTGATCCTTTCTAACCTTAAGAGCACTATGAGAACCCCACATGTCATTTCCAAGCCACATGTCATTTCACAACACACCTGTAGGTCCCCTGTGATGTTCTTCCACCCACCAAGGATAGCTCATCTGACAGTGCATTGCCCGATGCTGACAGTTCTATCATGGCTCACACAAATTTTTTCTACCACCAGCAATCCACTAGCTAATGGGTCAGTATAGGCAGCAGACAAAAAACAAAACAAAACAAAACAAAACAAACCTCTTCGCAGTTATTATATTTGCTAACAATTTCATGGAAGAGGTCAGAGGCCAATAGGCTCAGAGAGTGAACTTCAAAGGGAGAATGTGGTATTTAATTTTTAAACCACATTGAAAGGCAGAACAATGAGGGCTTTTAGTGACATTCCAGACAAGCCCACAGTTCCTTGGAGGACTTTCTGGACTACATGGTGCATACCCAGGCCTGCTTAGAAGCACTGAGGACTTGACAATTGCTCAGTCAACCTTCTCAAAACTATTAACCAGTCTTGTGGGAAGAGCCTTATGCAGCTGAGTTACACCAAAACAAATGAGCTGCCTGGGTTGTGTAATGCACTGATGGACCTGTGTATGGACAAGCCCAACTGCTTACACGTTGGTCATTAGTCTGTGTAGCAGGAGGCTTTCAGACAGAATGGTCAGGTTTTCCAGGAAAATTAGGTGGGTTTATGCTTCGACAAGATGCCTTGCTGGCCTTCACCAGCTTAAAAGGGCCCAAATCATCTCTCCTCTCATTTCTATCCTATTGTAACAAAGACACTCCCTGCCAATATTTCACTTGTCCTTTCCATCCACAGTGACATGCACCATGAAAGATGCTGGGATATTAAAGAATTCACTCTTCCATCCTGCATCCACCGATGTAGCTGGCAGCAGTGCCACAGACTTCAGAAGCTATAGGACTCATTTGAAAACCCAGGTTTCTGAAGGTTCATCTTAATACCTGCTTCTGTTATATTTACTTATGTTTTCTGTGCTGAGCTACAGCAGTACCATTCTGGTTCAGCTTACAAGCAAGTTTACTTTTCCCCACCCCATTCTCATGGTGGCCTCAGCTACACAATACTGCAGGTATCTGGAGCCTGAGCAAAGTCTGTCTTTATGGATGCAATGTTCCTGCTGAATGGCTGAAGGTCAAGGGGTCGCCCCGCCAACACGTACCCACAGGGGACCCTGTTTAACTCTCACCCTTTTGCATAGAGATGACATCATCAGTTGAGCTCTGAGTTTACACAAAAGCCCTTTTCCCAGTCCTGGGAAGGATTTTCCGAAGCCTTGTCAGAATGGAGCTGCTGCCTTAGAACAACCTTTGTCTGAGACTCAAGAGTGTCTCTGCATGAGCGGACGTGCCTAGTGACCCTATCTTTTCAATTTCTGACCCACATTTGCATCTTAAAACTTGTCAACCTCTACCTAAGTACACTCCCCCCACCCTTGGCCCCTGCTCTCTCCTTTCAGTCTGAAAATTGTGCCTGGTCCAGCTGCCCTGCAGGTCTCAGCTCCAAGCCCATCAGCACGTCACACTTGTTGACCATTTTTTCAGTTCATGATGTGGATTAGGCAGATGTGGGGAAGAGTCAACCCCAACCTTCCACATTGTCCAAGTGCCCAACATCCACACCTGAGGGGTTCAAGGAGGCCAACTGGAAGGAATTTGCTCTCTTGGGGTGATGATCAGCCATGGGGCCACTTGGCAGCTGTCACTGTCACCCACCATCTCCCAGTGGCCCAGCAGCTGCTCTGCTCCCTCCGAGTGCAGGAGGTGGGCAGCCCCAGAGCAGCAGCCCTGCATGGACCTCACACCCTGGAGCAGGAGCTCCTGGGGAGCTTTTCTGCACAGCATTTTTCCCAGACCCCCATCCCACTTGCGTCAGCCCTGTGGAGACCCACTCTCAACTTTTTGGGATAAAGCACACCAGGTGGACATCTGCCTTGCTCACTTCGGGACCAGATGACCCCAGTTTTTCCACCATATCCTCCTTCAAATGTGACAGCATTTCCCAGGCGAACTAAAAGGTGTATTTCGGAGAAACCCTGAAAGGAGTGGAGCCTCACCCTTAGAGACTTGCTGCTGGGCAGAGAGAAGCAGGGAGACACATCCAAAACCTTCATTCCACAGAAGGCTGCAGGAATGCTTTTACCACTAGATGTCACAGCAATGCCGGGAGCTGCTGCCTGCCTGCTCCTCCCGAGCAGGGCTTTGCTGCGCCCTGAAGCACAGTAACTCCTTACAACCTCAGCCTGGGCCTAAGGGAGAGAAAGACCTTTCTTCACCATACACCTGGAGGGGTGCTAATTAAGCATGCGTGAAAAATAAAAGCATATTAGTAAGGAGAGTGGTAGCAGCACCAAGTTCTGCCCCAACTGCAGGCAGACCAGCCCAGGTCCTTGCCCGCTATGCAACTGCAGGCAGGGGACAGATGTGGCACCTCTCATACACTCCCCAGAAACAGCCCAAGCTGCAGATCCTCCTACAGACTTTCTATAGGATTGGGCTTTGGGAAAAAAAAAAAAAAAAAAAAAAAAAAAAAAAGGAAACCAAAAAAAACCCCACAAAACCACCCACAGCAGAAATCAGTCCTTAAAAATAAAAATAAAGAGAGAAAAAGAGTACATTCATGGTTTAAACAATAAACCCAATTTCCTACAGCAACCAGTGCTGTGAGGGTCCACCCCCCTCCTCTCCTGCTTTGGCAGTGGGGGGCGAACACATCCACAGCCACCTCGCAATGTGGGCAGGTTGCACTCTCTTGCAGAAGCTTTCCCACTGAGTGGGAAACAACCTAAGAATCTCTAGGGCAGAAAGAAAAAGAAGGTAGCAACAGGGCTTAGGCATCAATTACAAAAGAAAAATTAGAGGCAAATAAATCAAATGTACTATGCCTTTTTTATTTGCTTCTGATATTCCTTGCTTTTATAACAAGTAACACACCCAATTTCTTTTCCTGGGGAAAAGTTAAAGCAATCCCCTTCCTGCTGCATCATCATAAAATAACTGCAGCTGCTTTGCTGTATGAACATGAAAACAGACATATATACAAAATATTTTCATCATTAATGACTGTTGTTGATTCAGCTGTTGGATGGACCAATAATATGGAACTCATTCTCAGAAAATGTTAAGTCAATCCTTCAAAATTAGGTCACTTTAAATTGTCCCACTTGTGAACTGTCAAAACTGAGACAACCAAACCATAAACCTCTTTTTGAAATCTTGTTGCCCATGTTCACATGGTTTGGAGTATCTCCGGTATCTCCCATCAGCTTACCTCTGGGATCAGAAAAACTGACCTTCATTACTGCATGGCTTAGGCAGCATTTCATTTCATGACAAGGCCTACAATAACAAGTGGTTATTGCTCAAACAGCAAACTAGGTGTAGAGGTTGATTTATGTTGGCTTTGCTCTCGCATAAAACATGTAAAAGCACTACTTCAGAGAGGAAACCTATGCCAGCATCATTCTTCAACAATTTTCACTGCTACTAACCTGGTACAGATGGACCAGAACAAAGATGGGACAAGCTATCATGGAAAATGCTACAGCACATGTTGTAAATCAACAACTGCTAGCTGACATCACAAAAAGATTGTTTTTACCTGTACGAACACAGTGAAGAGGATGACAACAGTTGTTGCTGCAATGAAGAGCTTCTTTCTGTGAAAGTCGGGAAGCAAGAAAACCAGAGAGAAACAAATGGCTCCTCGGAGACCCCCATATGCTATAATGAATTGGTCTTTGGTGGTGATGGTGTTCACATGAAATCTGTTCACAAAGAAAGTCAGCACAAGAACACCTGGAAAGCAGGAAAGATGATGGGAGCACATCAAACAAAAAGAGCAATTAGATAAAACTCACAATCTTCTTATATATTTTACCATAAAACAACTCTGAACACCAATCACAAGAAACTGGCCAGGGCCCAAGGTGATATATTCCCAATATGGCACTGAAGAAGGGCTTTTCTTCCAGCCTCGTCCAACACGTTGGCATTTGATTTGTCCAGATAAAAACTAAGCCCCAGCACATTTCTGATTTGGGGAATTGCAAACAGCATCAACTGGCCACAGCTCTGGAGGTTTGTACGACTGTAAAATTTTAGGAAGCTCATCTTGTAACAAATTCTCTTGTATTTTAACTCAGATTTGTGCTTATCACAGTCCAGCTGGGAAACCAGAGTTTCCTTCAGGAGGACTCTGAACTCTGCGGGGCAGTTTTAATGTCATCCTGCTCCCATGGCTGCCGATCCCTAGTACATATCATTTACCTGGGGACTCCGTGTTAAGCGTCAGCTAAATACTGAACAATAACCATTGGCAACATAGGATGCATTAGGACATTTATTTTGATGGTAGTTAATTAAAGGTGTTAGGGCAATTCTGTGGTCATGTGCCAGCTGAAATTTTACATCAGCTGGTTTAACAATACAGAGCTAGATGCTGAGAACTGAAATACTAATTGATTTATTCTAATTGGTGATAACAAATCATCAAAGTGCTTGGGTTATAGATGCTCTCTAGGCAAACCATCAGCAATAATATAGCCACAAGTTACCCTCCAATTTCCAAAAGTTTCCAAGCAGTAGTCAAGGCACTCTAAATATTTGATGTATATTCTGCCAGCATTAATGTTGTTTCTTCACAAATCTTTCACTCAAAGATTTATACTGTATGAATTCAGGAATACATCAGGTGATGCAGCAATTGATGTAATTTATAGCCATTTTCAAATACATAAACAGATGCAGAAAGGTACAAAAAGTCAGGCCTTAGATCACTAAGCTGTGATTTTAATACCAACAGATATGATAAACATTTTATTTCCTGAAGATTAATGGCCATTTTGAGAACTGATGACATAGACTGTCATTTTGCTAGGAATTAGCAGGACCCACATCACTATTGGTGTTCTAAAGGATGTTTGTAAAGCATCATTGAAGAACTAAACTTCAAAAATAGTACACATGTAATGTACATATCTTCCTGCATATGTACAACTAAAAATACCTGAACTTTGATTGCAGATCAGATTGGTTTGAAGAAAACAAGAAGGTGAGGATGTTCAGAAATAGGGAACTCAATTAACTGAACCTTGCAATACCTTTCCCATCCCCAAAGCACCATGTATCTGGTGCCCAGACCAGCAGATATGAAGTACTTTGGTTTCAAGGTTCTTTGTAATGTAATGTAATAAAATTAAATTAAATTAAAAAAAAAAAAAAAAAGATAAAAGCATACCTGGGGTCTTGTCTGCAGCTACCGTAAGTGCAGGCAGTGCCAATGATTTAAATGAACAAAATTTACTTGAGCTGATATCGTGGCCTTTGTCTTAATTTAATCCTTTGTCATAAATTATTATTAGCATTCCCTAAACTAATTCAAGGCCAGTTTGCTCTGAGAGATGACATACAATTAATCATTTTGAGCAGAATATATTTTCTTCTGGAGATATACTTTGAGAAAGAGCAGAAGGAAATCTCCCCAGTGCTCAGCTAACAGTAGACTACTAGCACTGTCACGCAATTAATGCATTTTGCTTTTTAGATGACCTCTCTTATATCAAAGTAATTCCAGCCCCCAGGCTTCAGCAGAACCATTTCTCATTTAAGAGCACTGGGACTAGAGTACAACTTGCATATTAACCCCAGCACTGTCAACCCAAAAGTCCCCAGTTCCTGCAAACAGACTCCATAGGTGCCGCCCCTTTCTGGATCAGTGCCTTGAGCACGTCCAGAGCTGCTGGACGGGTCTGAGCCAGCCAGGGTCTGATCTCAGCCACCATCTCCACAGCTGGAGATTCCCAGCCCAGCTTGGTGCAGCACCCTGCCATGCCTGCATCCTCCCAGCACGCCTACGGCTCTCCAGCAAGATGCTGCGGAAGAGGGCCAACACCCCATTCAGGAGCAGATGTGGAAGATTATTTTCAGCCATGTCTGTGTGTTATTTAATTCAAGAAAGATTTTTAATATAAAGAGGGTTTTATTTCTTGGCTGCAGTGCTGAATCCTTCTCTAATAATGTGCTGCATAATTTGAGAATGCAATCAGAAGAGCTGTGTTTAGAGAGCCAGAAGATTTTCAGCGTGCTTTTATAATGTTACTATGTTCCTTATGTCTTGCAATGAAGAATTTTTGAACTAAAAAAAAGTCAGACTCACTCAGAACTTTTAATTTGAGCAAATAATTTAAGAGAAAACCGCTTAATTGTAATAAAGCATCTGAATGTACACACAACTAACAAGCACATTTCCAAGTGCATTTATGGTGCACAGTTATTAAAACAAATCTTAGCATGTATTAACAGCTAATAAAACCCATTCTGCTACGTCTTGCTAATCATGGCCTATCCTATTTAAGCAATTTCTTAAAGTGTCTATCAAATTTAAGTTCACTCTGTTTGACTCCATGGTTTATAAACATAAATCCTGTTGAATGTTTTTAGCTTTCAAATTCTTTTCCAAAATGTGTGCTCTGTTATATTTGCAAATACAGTTAGTATATAAAAACATCTATAAATGAGAAGGTAGGCACTCTGCACTCACTTAGGTGACAGTAACTGCACAGTATAAGAGGCAATGGAGAATCAGCCTCTGAACACCAAATCAGCACAAGATACAACTGGGGACAATCTATTGTCATAGTGCATCTATTTTTCTGGTCAATTACAATGCAAGAAAATGGGATCTCAGAATACTCTGGGACCAGGACTTAGGTTTTCATCATAACAGATCTCAGGGAGGTTATTTTTAACCACAATTATCAGGAGAGTATTTTCATGTATTTTCATTCCTCTTGTTATCATTAAGTCTTGGTCACTTTCGTACTGTGAAGTTGGTCAAACACTGCAGTAGGTTTCCCAGGGAGGTTGAAGAGTCCCGGTCCATGGAGATAATCAAAAGCCATCTGGACACAGTCCTGCCTAGATGACCCTGCTTAAGTAGGGGGTTGGACCAGATGATCTCAAGAGGTCCCTGCCAACCCCAGCAATTCCCTGACTGTGCAACTCTGACTTTCTCAGTTCTTATCTGAACATCTTAAGTAGGAGCAGAAGTGTCCTCACATTTTAGGTCCCAATTGTCATCTGCCCAGCAGTAAGCAGGGTAGATGTTCTATAAAGCAGAACAGCAACTCCAGGGACAGCTGTTTGAAGGTTCCTCCAGTTTCCCATTTAAGGATGTTGCTGTACACAGTGTTGTTATGAATTAAATCCCTTAAATCTCTGCAATTCAGAACATGCAGTCAAGAGGCCCCATGGTTTTAAACAGTTCTCTGATCCCAAGCTATGTACTTACAATCTCCCTCCTACTGTGAAGATATGAAGTGACTAACATACACTGAAATGGAAGAGGAGATCATGGCAGTCAGAGAGTCTAAGACAGAGATATCGATAGAATAGATGACACAAGAATTTCTATTTACCATCAGTGCTGTCTGCAGTGAGCGCACAAACTAGGAAATTGCTGTAAAATGAAAGACTTGCTATTGAGCAAGTGATGAAGGATAAGGGAAGCATCAGCAGGGGTGTCCAGCTTCAGCCCTTGCATTCACATCTGGGATAAGCGCACACACAGACTGAGCAGGAAAGGATGATGGTGGGGGCAGGAGCATTCTGTCATTTAACGGAATCATGTTTTTCACTTCCACAAATAATACTATACATATATAAAAAATAAAATCTATAATTTCAACATACCTAGTGCTCTCCAAATGAGACAGAAAATGACAGTGAAGAAAATGTATGGCCAGTTCCATTCATGATTTTCTCCAATGGTAGAAACTCCAAGAAAGATGAAGATGAGGGTATCACTAACACTGCTCCACATCTTCATGAAGTATTTGACTGTGGTATGAGACTTCAGAGAGATGTTGGCCTCCACATAACGTTTCATGCCCATGGCACAAGAAATAATGCTGAGAAAATGAAAACAAAACAATAAACTTTTCTACTTAAGCACACAAAATCAACACATTGTCATTTATAAAAAAACAGGCTTCATCAAGTCTTAGATGTTTGTAGACATCTCACTGGGTAGTGATACACTTCCTACATCAGTTCAATAATATCAAGAGGACCACCAGGACAATAAGGTACTATATAGGTTGACCAGACTGTCTGAATCTGTTTTTTAACAGATAAACAACTCACCATCTGTTGCCTTTATTACAGTCACACAGCAATACCTACAGTTAACTACACCCAACTCTTTACATCACAATATACTGTCTCCTGTTCTTTAACTTTGCCAAACTCTAACCACCTGGGCTGAAAAGTTCCATGCTTAGGAGCCCATATTACCTATTTTGCCTGGATGAGAGAAAGACATTTGAGGAAACGGGAGACTTTTTTCTCAGCATGAGAAACGTGTAAATAGGACTCGGGTGAGTTTGGCTGATACCTGGTCACTACAGACGATTCTTGTAAGACTCAGAATCAGTGTAGTTTAAAAGCAGTGTGAATGCTGCACTCCTTCACCCAGGGGACCAAAGCTAATCTAAAATTGGAGAAATTCAAGCATATGACATACCTCACACTATCTATTTCTAAGCCTGACCAGACTTGCACTGTATATTATTTGGGCACAGCTAAGAAGCCACTGACTCCATGCAACCAAGAGACACTAAAATGCTCAAGCACACTGCACAATGAGCCAAGAAATGCTGTTGCTATAGTCAGAACATCTGACCTCCTCAGGTATCGCATATCCAAGGTCACTTCAGAAGTGTGCAGCACCAACTAAAACTTCTGTCTTGCAATTTTTCATGGATAATTGGTTCTTCAAGTTACAGGGTACGTGTGGTTAGCCTAATTCATTCAGCTTTTCAAATCAATACATGTCCAGGCCAGCAATCTTAGAAGGTCAAAACAATTGAGCGCTCAAATAGTTGAAGCTCCATTTTTTATATTTTAACCTGGACAGAAACATTTTGTTTTAAATGTTGTGCCAGCAATAGCAAAATGGCTTTATATTACTGAGATCTGATTTCCTCTGGTATTTGCTGAGGCCATCCATACAGAGATTTATTGCATTAAAAATTCCTTTCACGGGGCATACTGTGGTAACTCTCTTTACATTATATCACACACAGACAAGCCCACAGAGAAGCAGATCCTCGGCTTGCAGAAGTCCACCTGGGTCTGGCAGACTGACTTCAAACACCAGCTGTGACCAGGACAGGTGAGTGACCCATATAGATGCAAATAGGTGTAAGATAGGTGGTGGCCTTCACAGCACATTATCCATAATGTGTCCTCTCGGTTATGAGCCATTCAGAAAACTGCCATGCAACTACTGCTTTGCAGTGAAAACATCACATTTAACCCCAGAATATCACAAAGGATATTTCTTTGCATTATTTGGTCATTGATGAAAAAAACTCAGGGCTTCCCCGTGGCCCCAGTGAACAGGACAAGTTGCAGATGGGCAGTGCTCTGGTTGTGGTTTTATAAACTGTATGAAACCAAAGACCCCAATTCTCCCCTCCACAGCTATTTATTTATTTCATGAAGACACTGTCATTTCTGCTCCTGCTCTGCACAACTAACAAAAGCAGAGCAAGGGCCACTTTCCTTCTGGCTCACCAGTGAACCACTAACACATCCTCCCTGCCACAACTCAGCATTGATTGTGGGATCAAGACAAAGGAACAGACAACAGCTATATTAATTTCTGCTTTACTAAAGCGCTAAGAAAATCAGCAACACTATTATGGGAAAATATCAGTCAGATATTTGGCTGGAACAACAAGAAATTAGAAGAAACAAAAATACTTTTTCAAATTAATATGCCCTTTTATAAATTCATCTAATGTTGTTTGAGTTCACCTCTTTCACCTCCTAAGAAAATGTACAATGCTTCAAAATATTCTGAAATCAGTCTTTTTGGATTTGTCCTTTTTAGACTGACCTGCTTTGCATAAAACACTGAGCCAGAAAGGGTAACAGGGATTGAACCACAGGCTAAAAAGAAAATAATAAATTCTTCTGTTTCTGCCTCAATAAGTAGCAAGTAAAATAGTTCCAGCTAGGAACTAAGAAATCCAACAAGTATTTACAGGCAAGTGACTTCCAGAGCTGTGGTTTGGGAACACTTATTGGAGAATAGATATAGGTTCACATCAGATTCACAGAGAAGGAATACACTACACTTGTCCTGTCACAGTTTCAAAAATGGACACTGCCACTACAGCAAGGCGGGCAGGAGGGGGGTAAGAAAAAAAAAAAAAATCAACTTAAAAAACATTTGCAGAACTGATTAGTAGATTGAGTTGTACTCACAGATTTTTTTTTTTTAACTATGTAGAATCAATTTTTTTGGCAATCAAATTATTTTTCAAAGAAACAAACTGCCAAGATCTGCTTCTTATAATACAGTATTCCCTAGTCACGAATGAATTGTTTGAAATCAAGATACCTAAAAAAGAGGCATTTATAATTTGGCAATTATAAGACCAGCAGTGCAGGAATCAGCTGCCTTTGCAATTGTTTTGCTTTAGAAACAATGCATTATTCAAAAGTATAGAAAATGGGTTCCATAATGTGTACAGTAGATTGTGATTGATAGAAGTAGACACCATTAGGATTGAATGTTTTCTGCTCCATAATGATTATGCAGCATATTTATTTCACTGTTCATCTTGTGCTCCTATAAATAGGCTTTCTCTTACCTATTCCCAGAGCTAGAATTATTTTCAGTAATGCTAGAATATTGCTCCTATTAACCATTCAAGGAAACAAAATCTGCAAGATACAGGAATGGTTTATATCCAAAGCAGTATCATTAGTTTTAAAATAGATCTCCCAGATACTCCTGTGTCTAGCTGGTACCTGACTTAATTTTTTAATTCTCTTTTTATCTTCATTATTATCAGATTTACAGTTGTTTACACTGTAGCTATCAATGCAGCCTAAGTGCACTTTATGGTCTTTTGGGAAATATTAAATAGTTGGTTATGATCCTCAGCATCAGCTGACTTAGTTTGGATAGGAGAACCAAATGCAACAGATATCAACCCACAGAAACCAGAAGGACCGAATCACTGTTTTTCATCTGTCTCTGCTTTCCGAGGTGAGCTTTCTTTGATCATTAGTATTATTACACCTATTTTTTTCTCAGCACCTGCTCTGCAAGTGAAATGCCCAATAAAGTAAGCATGAATCTCAGTCAGTTACCTCTCCTAAAACTGAAGATCTGGCCCCAAATTACTCTTTTTATTGAAAACCCTACCCAGTAAAAATAAAAATAAATTAACTGTATTATTTATAAATTACAACTCGTGAAAGACTGAACTTACAGAAACAGAGTTTTGCTTTGCTGATCTGAAAAGTTCCATGGCAATACATGAGATAGTACCTGACACAGCGTGGGACGTGGCCACTGGAGACAGGCTGCCCCATCTTGCTATACCCTCATTTTACAAAAACTTCACAGAGAAAATCTGCCAGTGGTCTGAAGTGGTTTTCAGACTGAAGAGTGTATAGGACTGGCTGTGTTGTAGTAAATTGCAAGCAGCTTGGGTTTAGTACCTTTAAAATCTTTGGCTGAAATTGGTCAGTGGATTTCCAACGTTACTGGAGACAGAGAGATGATGGATGGCACCCTCACTCAGGAGACCGAACTCACTCATGAGCTGTGTCTGAACTTCTGGTGGTAAGTCAGAGTCTCCAAAGCAGAGGTTTCCATCTGAGCCCTCCACTCCCAAACAGGAGGAATATTTCCAGGCTTCAGCTCTGTGGGGGATACACCCCTCCCACCCCATTGCTCACTTTGCTCTGTCACCATAAGGTCTGCCACCACCCAAATCTAGCTGGTAGGTAGGGCATGCAGCTCAGGAGGAGGACGCTACAACAGACATCCTGTAAACTGAGACCAAATCTTTTCTGAGGAGTTGATTAAATGCTCTTTGCAGCAGATCAAATGTTGGTTTTGACAAGGCCACACATGGAAAATAACAAAATATGCCAGAAAAGTCTCTTCTGGCTCTGCCAAATCAACTAGGAGTCTTGCTGCTTGAACTTCCAAGGTTTCCAAACAAAAACCATGGAGCTCAAATAAACATGCCTCAATAACCTACATAAACTGATCAGCTGTGGGAAGCTCTCCCAGCAGTAGTCATCGGGATTGCTTGTGACTTGCAGGCGTTACCACTGATGTGTCATTGTGTAATCTGTGAAATGGGGTTACACCCCTCGGTCTTCCACAGGCTTTTATACTCACTGTTTGCTGTCATACACAGATTTCCAACTAAGCGAACTTACTTTAAAACTTTTTCTGATACTTTTCAGTAAATATAGCCAGAAAGCTTTCCTGGACAGACAAGATGCTGGGACATACTTACGCCACAATCCCCGAAAGGTGAAACATTTCAGCTGTGAGGTAGGAAAGATAGCTGTACAGGAAGACAAAGAGTGGTTCGATGACACGGATATCCTTGGTGAATCGCGTGGTAAAGGCCGCAGTCATCCCAAAAATAAGACCTACTAAAACTCCTCCTATCCCAACCACAAAGAATTTTCCAACTCCAGCAAACACATCCATGCTTTTGATGGTTGGCATTTCACAGAAAGACCGAAATAGCTTGTAGAGCACCTGGGTGAGAAAAATGAAAAACAGCCGCTAACAAGGCTTTCACCAGATATAGTCATACATAGCAATGACATTAAAATATGCTGCTAGGATTTCTGCCAGTGCAGGCCCATCTTGTCTAGACTGTGCTTTTGCCAGGAAAGGGACCAGATGATCCTTGAGGTCCCTTCCAACCTGGTAGTCTATGACTCTCTGATTCTCTGGAGGTAGGCTCCTACCAGGGGCATGCTGTGGCATTCGCATGCGTTTCTGTCTCCAGGCATACAAAGAGATTCTTAGGACCTCAGGCCAGAGAAGTGGACAAGGAGCCCTCTGCTAGAAGAGGCTGTTGATGCCTTTTCCCTCCGCAGATCTCATGTCCCACCTCTCAGCACCAGCCCATCCTTCCTCTGAACGTTAAATACTGAAAATAAAGGCTAGTCCTTACCACTGTCACAGCGTCATTCAGGAGCGATTCGCCGAAGACCAAAATGTGCAGCTTTTCATTGACGTGTATCTCTTCAAAGACCGCCAAGACCGCCACGGGATCCACGGCAGCAATCAGGCTGCCGAACAGGAGGTTGTGGAGCAACGACACATCCTGCAAGTGAAAGGCTTTCACCTGGCAGATCCCGTACAGGGAAAAGCCAATCCCAAACACATTCCATATTGTCCCCACGACCGCGTAGAGGAGGATAGTGCCGATGTTCTCAAAAAAGGGTCGGCTGGGCATGAAGTAACCCGCGTCAAGGACGATGGGTGGCAGGAGGTACAGAAAAAAGATGTCGCTGTCCATAACAGGTGGTGACTTGTCATTTAAGCCGTAGATGATTCCCCCCATGATGAGTCCTACAAATATCAATAAGCAGCTTTCGGGAACAACAAAAGGCAGCTTGTTATACAGATGAAACCCTGGAAGGGGGTGAATAGAAAAAAAAAACATTGTATTATCTCATCAGCCCAAACTGGCTGAAGAGCACCAACCAGTTCTTTGTTGGGGTGAGGAAGCTCCCCATGTTCTCACCTCCAGCAGGCTGTGATTTGGAGTAGTACTAATAAATGCACACAATTTAGGTGAAGTAGCCCAATAAGAAATTGGCTAGAAAATCTGAAAGATTACTGAAAATACTAAACTGTCTAAAATTACTATTGGTTCAGACTGCAGTTCATCATAGCATAAGGTTAAAGACATGTTTTCAGGTAATACACAAATAGAAAAACTAAATAATCTACATAAATAAAAAGGTATTTGGAATTATTCATGATGTAATCTATTTAGCATGCCATCTTCAGCACTCACGTAAATAGCAACTGCTAATTTTAAACACAATACAGATTCTATACATTAAAAAAAAAAAATCACAAAAAAGCTTTCTCATTAATTATAACTAGTGCCACTTTTAATATTATTTAATCATTAAAACTTAAAGCTAATGTTAACATTGAAAAAAGTCCAGTCAAGCCAGCCTCGTGCAATACCCAATGTGAGAGAGAAATGCTGACAACAACTGCAAGTACTTTAGGTGAGTTATTAAAAGAAAGAAAGTAATTGAAACAAACCAAACTGGAATAGGTATAATAAAAAAAAAAAAATCTGTGATCATTATCATTTCTTCACGCATGTTAATAGAGTTGAAATCTCATCATATAATATGCAGAATAGCACAACAGAAAGACCATTTCCATCTGAAAAAAGTTCTGATCTAAATGAATCTCAGAGAATTCTCCCTTCTAAGGAAAAATATAAAAGAAAAAATGCTGTAAAATAGCTCTTATAGCAGTAATTTAACAAAAGTGATCGCAATTCCTGGAATTAAAAAAAAAAAAAAAAAAAAGTATCTAATTTCCACATTCCTATACCCAGTTTAAGGAGTCTTCATTTTAAGATGAAGATGTCAGTGGACAATCTGCATGAAGCGTAGCTGGCAAGCTAATGAAGATGAATGCATACTTTGGTGTGTACTGCAGTTAAATAAAATTCCTGGAAACCCTGACGTTTTTTCTACTAACAGCAACACCATGCACAGATATTAACTTCTAGATGGGAAACCATCATTTCCAACCTAAAATGCAACCGGGTAGATATTTCCCATGCGTGCAGTATGCCTGGCACACAATATGTGCATCCTTAGGACTTGGCACATTATCTCAGGTTCCAAGATGAGAAGTGGTGAAGCAAAGGCCACCTCTGCCCACACCATCCCCATGGAGACCCCTGTCCTTCCTCACCCTCTCCAGATGCCTTACCTATTTTGGCCAAGGAAGCAAGCATGATCCAGAGTGTGATTTCAAAGGGGACTTGGACGTGCTGATAATCTGGAGAGAAAAACGCATGCTCTGAGGATTCGTTACCCTGGGCTTCCTCGGCAGCCCAGCTGGTATTCTCCGGGATCACATCCTCCAGCAGCGGCATTGGTGGGGAGCCCCGCGGGGCTCTGACCCTGGTGGCTTGGAGGACGGAGGAGAGCAAGGACCCAGCTAGGACAGCAGCTGCAGCTCTGCACCCTGGCCTCTGCCCCTCCATTTGCCCTGGAAGCCGTCTGCCGCGGGGATTTGGTCACTGGCTGCTCCCGGTCGGTGGGTCCCGCTGCTGGAGACACCGGAGCCCAGCTCGCCCTCCTTGCGTGGGTTGCTGCAGAGAGGAGCAACCGCTCCGCCTCACCCTGACTCTCCTCCCCTGGTCCATTAGTTTCCAGCCAGGAGACCCTGCGGGAGAATCCCGGCCTTTGGCACCACATGCCCAAACAGGCAGAGGCTCCTCCCGCAGATGCTTCCTCAAAGAAATGCCTTGTGCGCCCTTAGAGCAGCTGCACATCTATGCATGCTGGGAGAAAGACAAGTTGCATTTTAGTCCTAACTCTTGACATACTGTTGCTTCCAGTCTCTCAGAAACCCTTCCTGAAGGGGGGAAAAAAAAAAATCTTCACTGCTGCTAGAGCAGCCAGGCTTTGATGGAACAGGTCCCACATAAAACAGCCCCATCCAGAAATGGACCCATCTTACAGCAGACCTCACTGGGTTTCTCCAGTGCCCATAGAGAGAGCACATGGCAGCAACATTACTGATAATCACAGTTTCCATTTGGTAAATCAAGCGAAGAATACAGCTTTATTACACTAAATACAGAGCTGCAGTGTTGTGCTGGAGAGAGGTCACCAGTACAGAACCAATAAGTTCCAACAATTGCTTAAAGCTTCCTATAGTAAGGGCTAACAGGAAAAGCTATTTTAATCAGTCTTCACTACCTGAAAACGGCATCAAAAACTGAGTGAGCTTGCTTAGAAAAGTTGGAGAGACATAAAAAGTTATTTGCAACAGCGTTAGATGCATTAATAATACAGAGGGGAAAAAAACATATCGGGTCATATTCCTCCATTGTGGAGTTTCATTTAAGTTGATGATGTTTCAGCAGCGTTGAATTTGGTCCAAAGAATATATATAATTAAAATGGGGAGGCCCCAGGCTGTTGCTAGACTGATCGATGGTCTATTTGTTTCTCTTCAGCTGCCTAAATGACATCAAAATTGAGCTGCCAATAATAAATTGGTGACCCACTTTACAGCAGAAAAGTCAGAACTCAACCTCATGCAGACACAGACCCTGGGTTTCTCAGTACCATGTGAGCCCCTTGCTTCTGATCTGATTTATAAAGCAGAAGGAGGATAAACTTTGGGAGACAGGAGAAATGCAGTGATACACCCTAGGAGTGACTTCTTTCTACTTTACCATGTTTAATTTGAATTTATAATGTGCTTTTACCACACTTGCTGATTTTAAAGCAAAGCAACACTCCTCTCATTAGAGCAGTCTTACAGAAAACTAAGCTTTTTAAACTTGGTGCCACTTCGCCCTGTGTATATTTAAAAAATAAACAAAGCTGCAGGACGATTAGAAGACAGAAATTCCACATGGTTCTTCTCCATCTTTGTTTCATAGTTCAATTCCATAGGGTCTGGGATGGGATGGGGAGGAGAGGAAGAAGCGAGGAGATGAGATCCCTTGTTACTTTGAAGGGGGGGAGAACACAGTGCTTTTAGCAGCGATTAAGAAATTACTTAGCCAGAGCTAAGAGCAGTGGAAGCACCCCTGAGCCTGAGCTCACATGCCAAGCCATTGTATTTCCTCCTTTACCTGATAAATTTGGAGCTGAATTTAGGAGTCTGAAGATTTTTTTTTCATTTGGTGGCATGTGAAAGGAGTTTTGACAATCTCACACTCCCCTCTACTCCCATACGATACATTTTGATTTTTGCTATTCTCAGGAGAAAAGCAAGAAAGTATTTGCTTACATTTACCTTAAGCCAAAAAAAATAAATATTTGCATCTTGGAAGGGAAAAAAAAAAAAAAAAAAGAAAAAAAAAAGGCCTGCCGCATGGAGCTCAACAGCGCTATCTGGAAAATGTTCTTGTGTGTAGAATCAATATCTATTTGATAATGGAACCAGAAAAAAAACAGAGTTCAGACAGTATCTGAGGAAGGTCAGATAACATTAAATGGATAACATTTAAATGTGCTCCATTTTTCAAATAAAGTTAACTTACAAAATCAGGACTTTAAGGATTAAGCAATAGTTAACAGGTGAAGCAAAAACACATGCTTGCATACTTATTTACCTCAACTGTTCACCAAACCTCTCTGAACAGAGCAAAACACAGCATGGTTCTTAAGAAAAAAGATATAAAATGTTAACAGAATGGAAAAGAGCCTGGGCCAGTACCCTGTGCAGAGTTTTTAATTAACCTATTTCTCTCGTTTTCTTCTCTGCGCTTTTCTTTGACGAGGGTCGTGACCCTGCAACAAGCTCCACGCTGAAGGATCAGCTCAGCCCCTCTCTGCAAACTGGCTTTCATCCTGCAAAGCTTTGAGCATCTCCTTAAAAGCTCCATTTTCCTTCACACTCTAATTACTGGCTCTCTGCACCTAGTCCTGGGCAAGGATAATGAAAGACTCCTTACAAATTTTTTGGACATCATATTTCATTACAGTGAGAACCTTCAAGTTTGCTTTTAGGATTTGGAAACTCCTCATTTTTCTATTTTGCATTGTTTTACCCTGAAGTAAATAAGCTTGATACTTCCCTTAAATTCTTATATGTATCCCTGTTCATTATACTTTAGTTATAAATAAACCAAAAGCCAAAGACAAAATGTTTTTCCAAAGTTCTCTGATAACAGAATAACATGTTGTTCCCCATGTAATGACTATTGATATTATTGAATGACTTTTTAATGAGAGTACCATTTGATCATATGTTTACTGACATGCTTTCATTTTCTCCCAATGCATTGTGCTTTCCCACACTTTTAGGTTTCTGGATTAGCTTCTGATTCCCATAATTGTGTTGATGAGTATCTTGCTCCTGCTGGAATGAAGAGGACCATGAGAAGAACAGAGTATTGTGTGATATGGTAACAGTGACCAGAATTCAGGCTCCTGCAATGAAAATGTTAGCTTAAATTAATTGTTTTAACTCTTTATACTCCTTAACCAATGACAACAAATTATTTTTCTTTACTTAGAGAGCAAAGAAAGAGCAAAAAGATGTGAAATCTTTTCTCTTACCTTCCTGATGTGTAATTACTTCTAAGTATACTCTAACTCCTCTCTTTTTCTATGAATGCATGTATCATTTAACAAAAAAAAAAAATATTGTAAATTAACTTTCATCACCTCTTGAAATTCACATATCAACTACTGAAAATTATAAAAGCTTTGAATAAACTCATGCCTTATATAGGGGGGAAGAAAAATAATTTGTTGTGCAACTTTTAGCTATGGTACTGCAGACTCTACATATTATTTGGGCCTCAAATCAGGAAATCATTTAAGCATTTATTCAAATACAAGCACTCAAAGTTTTACAACTTATGGTTAATAACATGTGAAAAACCTATGATGGACTAGGGCCTCCCAGAAATATCCAGCACAAAGAATCACATAGTATAATGACTCAAAAAATTTGCCCGACGCAAAACTCATCAGTCATCTTCCTCCCACTGGAAAGGAACTGCAGGATTTCCCACCATCAGGACTCCCACTGATTTCCAGTAGTCAGTGAAATTCAGGTAATCCTAGTAGAATTATCTCTTCTTTCACAGAAGAAAATATTTCTTATTTCATAGAAAACACCAGATCTGCAGCACCCCAGGAAAGCACGAACCCCAGGGCCAGCTGCTGCCAGCCGGGACAGAGCTACTTTTGGCCACAGCAGTTCTACCTGTGCTTTCATGATCTGTGACAAGAATAAAGAGATTTTCAAATAAATATTAGTGGTGTTTACTGACCTCAGAAAGGCTAAGGTTTCTTTTTCTATACTACAAAGGTTCAATATTTCCAGAAATTATTTAAATGCAGAGACACTGTGTCCATTCTAAATATGATTTTTGTTTTCTCTTAACAGATAATGCCAATCACTCATACAGTGTTTGGGATCACCCAGATGATGCTTTAGTGTTATCATATTTTGGTTTTGCCCCCCGCTTTTTTCAAAGAAATATTTTTCCCCAGCTTACCCTAAAACCCCTTCCTTTTTGCACAAAGCAGCCAATAGGTTTCATTAAAAGCATCCTGCTCCACAAGCAAATTAATAAACCGGAGCCTCTCCTGAAAAGCTAAACCAGGATGGCAGTTTCGTTCCCTCTCTACCTGCCACCCCAAGCAAAAATTCAGATATACATCCTCATTTGAGCTGGTTTTGTGCTGTAACAGTAACAGCTCTCTGACATGAGCTGTGGGACACACACATAGAGAAGCTCCTAAAAAAATTTACATGTACACTCCATCTAATCAGCTCATTGTGAAAGATAAAATATAAGTGTTAACGATATCTACATTTGGTATGTAAATATGATTTTTCCCACTAACATCAGAATGGCCATTTATTTACATGCATTGTCTAAAACCTGAAGGAGAAAGCCATTCTCATTTACGAATGTGCAAAATCACTTCCCCCCCCCATCAGAATGCAAACTGCTCATATTTTCACATATAATCACCTTATTTTTCAGCTTCTCCTCCTCACTGCCTGCATTTTCCATTACATTTTAATATGCACAGTGAAGACTGCACATAAAATACTGATCTTCTTTCTGAAGAAGCCAGAACAGAAGATTACTTATTTCTATCCATATGCAAGCCTGCGAGCAAACACAGAAAACACATAAGCAGACAGGCAGTTTAGCAAGATTTAATCGGAACGGAAATTAAGACCAAGTCCCTCATTGCATTTCCCTTGCTGAGAAGGATCACACTCATAGCTATTCTGGACAGCAAGAATGGAAAACCCCTAATATTCAAAGCCATGGCATGGGTTTTTTCAGTATATCACAGGCCATGAATATATTGAGAAAATAACTTTGCATTGCAGTGAGCTGGATGAATTGATGTGCTGCTGAACTCATGTGCACCCCACAGAGCCCAGGCAAGAATGTATATTTAATTTAACATCAGTGACTTCATTCAAAATCTGGTTTTAACAATAATTTGAACAAAATTACATTGAGCAAATGCAATATTAATAAGAAACAAGTAAAGAAGAACAAACCAAAAGAATAAGACATTCTCTTTGCCCACATTTTCTCTCATCAGGAAGCCGCAGAGGACATATACAATGCTAGATGCAAATTTTGTGGCTCATTGCTTAACATTTTGCCAACTTGAAAAACACAGATTTATCACTGCTGGTTTTACCTTGCCTACATGGAA